TTATTGTCATATTCATGACGTTTTGGCCACTGTATGCTCTGGCCTTCATCAGGATCTGTCTATATTTCTGAGATGAGGTATTTACATTATTTACATTGTTCGGACTGTTGTCCTCATCTTTATTGTCATATTCACAACATTTCGGCCGTTGTACGCTCTGGCCTTCTTCAGATGATACATGGTGGAACTAGAACAATATACCCTGGTGAACAAAGTAAAAGGTTTGGTTCAAAATTCCAATGTATGTCACCTGAAGTAGGCCGGAGTGTACAATGGCCGAAACATCATGAATATGACAATAAAGATGAGGACAAAAGTCCGAATGATGTAAATAGTTACATTTTGTAGCTTTTTGAATAAGGCTGAGAAAATAAAATAAATAAAAAGGAAGACATCCAAGAAAAGTTTGGGATGAGAATCTTGCATGATTTGCCTACTTTGGTGGCCTTAATGGTTAAAGCAATGACCATGAATATGCCAGTTCAAATATAATTTAAAACTCCTTTTTTGGTTTGGAATTTTTGTTGTTGAAGTTAATATCCGAAGACTGACTAAGAAATGTGATAAAAAGTTTAATGTCATGCCTTTTTTTTTTTGATGAAAAAACTTGTTGAAAGTAAAAAAGGAATCAAAAAAGATACAAATCAGAATCTTTAGACAACTTGAGAACATAAATATTAATTTAATAACCAAAGAAGACAAAGAGACGGCCCAGTGAAATATTTTCATAAAGCAAAAAACAACAAAAGAGATGAAGAAACTAATTAAATAATCCACATATATAAAATGTATCTATAAAAGTTTTCTACATCAGTAGAAGTGTCCACTGAATAGAGATGGATGAATTTATTAATTGTATATACTATATTTTCTTGTGTATAATATGAAAAATTTTGAGCAAAAATTAAAGGCTAAAAATAGATGGGGGGGGGTTGTATTAAGCACTAGTAGAGATTTTCAGAAATTTTTACTCATTTTAAAAAAACCTCTTATTTGAAACAGTAAAATTGCAAATAATCTGAGCACACAAAAAAATAAAATTGAAAATAAATTTTGGAAGAGAAATTTGGAGAAGAAACAAGTTATGGTTAAACATCCAAATTCATTTCAATTCTTCAACATTGTGAAAAGTTAAATATTTTATCAAAATATATTTACGGCATTGAGATTTTAATGGATAGCATGTTAGAACTTTTCAAAAAAAAATATTTACATAGGAATGGCTGTACAACAGGGTTTTATTCTTATTAATAATTTATTCCTTGTTTTTAGCTTCAGAAACCAGGGGTCATATTACACTTGAGCTGTACTATACACGGGAAAATATGGTAATGACATAATAGAAAGTTTCATTTAGAAAATTTATGTTAAACTTGCTAAATAAGCAATTCATTAATCTGTCGGTTGATCTCTTCTGATGACATAGTAGTAATAGAATTTTCTGTTTAGTTGTAAATTATTTTAAAAATTACAAATAGAAAATATTGAATGTTAATGTGTTTTGTTCAAGAAATCTTATGGTTGAAGAAACTTTTAAATTGTCATTGGCTCTGTAGATAAATAAAGTTTCAAAGTAAAATATATTAAAAAATATCCATAAATTAGAAATTGGTTTTACCTTTGGTTCAATATTCAGGAAATATTGAACATAAAAAGGAAAATGCACAGCAACATTTCTAATTAATTTTGATGCAATTATAATTAATAAAAATTAAATATACCATCATTTTTTGATGGCAGAGTTAAAATTGTATGTATAATAAATCATTTATTATTGACAAAATCCTCCATTAAACTATTTTCTGTAAACAAAGACACTTTATAATCACCTAAAAATGTTATTTTTCATTTTAGATTGGTAATAATTTCTTCCTTTTCGCAGTATTTTACTTAAAGATGGAGGATTTTGTCAGTTATAACAAAAGAATCTTGTACAGCAACACTAATTCCTGTCAAAATGACTGACAAATTGGTTTAAAAAAAAAAAAAAAAAAAAAAATTCAATCACAGTAGTTGAAATGTGAATATGGTTTCTGGACACAACCAACAGCACAAGTTTTGTATTTTCTTTTTAAGAAGCTGCAAAACCATCACATGTCTTAAGTTACATAGAATATTTTGTTTTAAATATTTTGTAAAAGATATTTTGAAAATTTACTCCTCCATTCATTATAATAAAATGAAAGTTAGTTTTTTCTAATTTTGTTACCAAAACCATCTTCAAAAAACACCGATTTAGTAACAAACTCTTTTCATAAACAATTTTAAAATTCTTACTCTTTATGTCAATATATATACAAAATAGTCTTCCACAAAATCAATACCATGAAAATTAATTTGAACGATCCATATCTGAATGAACTGTAAAAAAAAAAAAAAAAAAAAAAAAACTAAAAAAACTTTCTATTTAATTTATGCCTTGTCTTGATCCCTAGACATGTACACTTCAATGAGTACAATCTACCTGTGTATGATAACTAAGGGATTAAATTAAAAATTCCTTGGTTATCCGGATTGAGAGACCCCTGAAGAAGGCTGGTGGGCATTATAGCAATAATATTGTGATAAAAATAACAAATATTTAATCATAATGTAAATAATATAAATAATGATTATTTCTTAGCTCAGAAATTCAGATGGGACTTCATTCAGTTAAAATCTTTAAAAAGGTTTCTTAGACACACACACAAAAAAGAAAAATTACAATTGCTGCAGTGAAAAAAATCAATTGAAAGTAAAAGTGATAAAAAAGGCTGATTTTTTTTAAAGAAAATTACAAAATCATAATCTATGAAGAGCAGTCTAAAAAATTATGACACTTATCTTTAGTCAGTAAAACTCACTAGAACTTATCTGAAGTAGAACCTACTAGGTTCATGTACTAGTCTTGGTAAAGAAAAATACAAAAGTCATGCACCACCTATAAATGCCCACTATTTGGCACAAGTTGTCACTATAGATGGTAGACGGTTTGCAAATGTGGAAAAGTTGTATCTTTTATGAAGGTTACTAAAAAAAGAATCGTCAAAGCAAACTAGATATTGGTGAGATTCTGTAAGCAACGATGGCCACACTAGAAGAAAAACATCAACTTCCATACCAAGTTCAAGCAGTACAACATTGGTCATATCCATCCTCCTCTATGGGTGTAAGATTTGGACACACCTGGTTGAAGCAGTAAAAAGAACACATCTACTACTGTGAGCACAAAACCAATGAATATGTACTGAGTAAGGTCAAAAGGAATTTTTTCTTGCCACTATTAAGCGTTGGAAGATGTCATGGTTTGGCCATGTCACACGGCATAACAACCTCTGCAAGACCATCATGTAAGGCACTGTTGAAAGTGGTCATAAATGGGGACGGCAATGCAAGAGCTGGTCAGATATCATCAAAGAGTGGACAGACATGAGTCACTGCCAGAACTCCTGAGAGTCACTGCCAAGAGATCATCATGGAGGAGGTGGTCTGTTTCTTCTACCCTTAGGACCATAATCATTGACAATTGAAGCAGTCAAGTGACAATGATGTTGAGGAACCAGCACAACAAATGCCTGTCAACAAATGTGAAAATGTTCAAAACAGTGGTCCCTTATGTACTTTTCTGTGGATCCTGTATTGCAAACATGAAAGAAATTGGAAAACATCCACATGCGAATTCTTCTTTCTATGCTTGAAATCTAGGAACAAGATCACATTCCCAATTTTGCTTTCCAACAGCATCAAATCTGTGCTTCTCAAGGCCCACCTCAAGCATGAAAGAAAATGGAAAACATCCACATGCCAGTTTTTCTTTCCAGGATTATCAAGGCCCATCTCAAGTGGGTAGTGTATGCTATCTGCATGGGTGAGCACTGTATGCCAAGATGCTTGCTGCATGAAGGGATTGCATTTGATAAAAGAAACAGAAGCCAACCAAAATATCACTGCAAAGATTCCATCAAAACGAACAGCTGAAAGAGTCGACCAGAAATACTGCCAAGCCATTGCTCATTGAGTGTTTGCTAATTTTTGAGAAGGGCCAACATGAAAGACTCATCATTGTAGGAAGACAATAAAAAGAAAACGACACATTCAATGATTATGATAAATAACTTTCTCGACATTGATTGCAGCTTTTCAGTTAGGTTGTGGAGCCATCTAACAATTTATGGATAACAAAAACTTAACATTTAAAAAATGTCATTATTTTTTGCATGGAATTCTAAAAGGAATGAGAATTAGGCAATCCTCATAACTTTATATGGAAAAATGTTTGATTCTTTTAGAATTAATTCTAAGGCAAAATGAATGTCTATTATGTATGTTTTTTTTTTTTTTCTTCAGTTTCTGAGATTTCGCTTTTTTACAAATTATTAAGAATGTTTAGTTTCTACATAATCAGGATAAAAATTTGGGGGCTAATTATTTTGACGAATTTTCCAAAAATGGTTGAAGTTTGTTGCTTTAAAGGATTCCACTTTTGACTTTTTGTATTGGAGAAAAAAAAAAAACAAAAAAAAAACAAGAAAAACACAAGAATTTCCATCTGTAATGATGATTCAAAATTGTTAATGAAATATTTTTCTTATTTTTTTGAGATGTTGCTCAAAAGACAGCAAGCAATCCAACTCAAGTAGAAACTTGTCATTATACTTGGGAGCATCTTTTGAGAAAGGCGTTATGAATTCCGTTAAGCAAAATTTGTTAATTTCTGTTGATTCTTGCTCTTTTGATCCTGCGTCTTTTTTCTAAAAACTTTCAACCACTTTTATGATTTTTTGAAAATCTTTCATTAAAAATACAGCCAATGGAATCAATGGACTAATTTAAAAATCTTAAAAAAATGATATCAGTCAAAGTCAGGAAAAATTATATAATAATAATAAAAAAAGCCCGACATTTTAAATACAAATCATAATGAGTATTATACGGGAAATGTACAATGTATGTAAATATGTGCTTTATCTAGGTAGTAAAAATGTAGAATAAATGTTTTGAGTGTGATGATTTGGTTGCTGTTATAAAAATTTCACTAAAATGAGTGAAATGACTGACCCAGAAGCAAGGCCAAGGGTTAGAAACAATGACATAATTGTACCAGCTCGTTCACTCTCAGCTGCACTCACCAACCTGAAAAGAGAAAAATATACAAATTTATAAGAGGGTAGTTTAGATTTTATAGAATCAATATTGTCAGGGACAAGGGGATTTCAATGTCATCCTCACCACTGACCAATCAAAGAATTCCAACTAAAGATAGAACCTCAACAAACCAGAGAATCCCAACTGCAATTCACACTGAATGAAAGAAAATATCTAAAGTTTTTTTGAATGGTACAAAGTTTAATTATGGCATACAAAATTGATATACCATATATATTCGTGTATCATGCAACTTTTGAAGACCTAATTTTGAACCTAATCTTAAAGGGGGGTTACATCATATGAGATATAAAATTAGTGTATGTAATGCTGGCCCTGGCTACACTATTGACCAAACTATATATCCATTTATTGTAGTCAAAAAGTACAGTTGTATTTAAAATATGATTTTGATAAAACTGATGTTTTACTTATCTCTATCCAATAATAATGCATGTAATATTCACATATTAGTATCTTATTATAAAATACAAACATAAGTTGTTTAAGTGTTTCTTGTTTGGTTGTTTATGGCTGTATGTTTTTACGCAATGAGTATAGTGTTACTAAAGATACTTTTATCATTCTCTTTTACTTTTTTAATTTATTTAACTAAAAGACAGGATAAAAAGATAGAGAAAATGTGATTCCTTTTATTTACACAGGAAAGGCTGCCTAGACTTAATGAAAATTGTTTCTAGCACTTGAAGATGAAACTGGAAGTACAATTTGCACAACACAAAGAACCTTTTTTTCCCACTATGCCGCAGCACACTGATAATTATTTATCAGGCTCTCCCTATCAATTGCAGACCTAGAAATAAAATATGTAACAATGATAAAATAAAACACTTGTGTTAGTTCCAATGAAAATGACTGTAAAAAAACATCTCCCTTTCCCAAATTTATAGACACAACATACAGATGCATGTTGGGATTTTTTCCTAACCAATAAAATAGGTCACTTCTTGGTCTTATCGACTGTTCTTGTCTTGAAGCCAGAATGCTGCAATTGCTCGTCTGTATCCCCTTTTGTGTGTTAACACTCATTTTAATTTGTCTTTTTTAGTTTTCTTTTTGCCTTATTGCTGTTGTTTTGATTATCTAAGGTAAAAATTCAATAAAGAATAATTTTTTAATGGATTTTTTATCCGACATTATTTTTTATTACTATATTTATTCTTAGTGGGTAAATGTGTTTGATTTGTTATCACTGTTTTTTATTTTTTTAAATTATTTTCTTAAAAAGAAAAGTTAATTAAGCTACTGTCCTTGATGGAGAAGATTATGCCTACAACAGGAAAATTGATTCTGGATCCCTTTTTTCATCAAAAGCATAGTTCCCTGATGTAAAAAAAAAAAAGAGATACTTGTTTAATTCCTATGGGTAGCACATTTTTTTTTTTTAGTCAAACTTCTCGATCTAGGATGGTTCTTATTAATTTCACTATTTAATTAAAAAAAATAAATAAATGAAAAAAGCAGGGCTAGCAACTCAAACATCTGTGCCCACTAAAAATAACATTTAAAATAATAAAAATGAAAAAACAATGTAACTGCATGAGTGAATTTGAATTTCACTTACTAGTTTCGATTACCAAATCCATAATAGACAGGCTTTCAAATGTAATGAATGCAAGTTCAAACCTTGTTAAAGGCTAATTGTTTGTTTTCTGGTGTGCATGCTTTTTGCTTAATTATTGCAAAATGGAAAATCATAAAAACGCAACAATAAAATGAAAAATAAAAAAGTTAGGAAGGTTCCTTTTTTCATTATCCTTGACTAACAAAATTCACTTTTAAAATTTTGTTTATTGAGGCCAGCATTTTATTGGTTTCAATACTGCTTTGACCAAAATACATAAGAGTTATCATCAGGAATCAGGTTTTATATTTATATATTAGGTCATCCCATAAGTTCTGTCCGAATTTTACCTTTTTTTAAAATGAACGAAATTTAAAGAGTATTTTATAATGTCTAATGGAGCTGAACATTATTTTCATGTTTAGATGCATTTAAACTGATCAAATTTTATTTCAGAGAACAATAAAATGAAATTTTGTTTGATTAAAACCCTGCTAACATGGAAGTACCCAAGAATCATTTGAGGCACATAATGCTTTATGAGTTCAAGAAAGGAAACTCAGCAGCCGAAGCAGCTAGAAACATTCACTCAGTTTATGGAGAGGAATGTGTGAATGAAAGAACTTGCAGAAGATGGTTTGCAAAATTCAGAGGTGGAGATTTCACCCTTGAAGATGAAGATCGAACCGGACATCCAGTTGAGATTAATGAAAAGCTTCTTGAAGCAGCCCTTGAAGAAAATCCTGCTTTATCAGTTGAGGAATTGGCAGTAGTTCTCATTTCAAACCATACAACTGTTCATCATCATCTTCCACAACTTGGAAAAGTTCCTAAACTTGGAAAATAGGTGCCTCATGACAACCTCAAATCCCGAGTTGACACCTGCTCTTCCCTCCATTCTCGCCAACTTGTTTCACCTTTTTTGGATAGACTTGTGAATGGCGACGAAAAATGGATCTTTTATCAAAATGTTAAGTGTTGTAGACAGTGGCTTGGTAAAGGGGAAGGACCCCAGCCACAGCCGAGAAGGGAACTTCATGGGCAAAAGGTTCTTTCAATCTGGTGGGATCGCCAAGGAATAATCCACTTTGAATTCTTACCACCTAATGCAACAATTAATGCTCAAATATACTGTCAGCAATTAGAGCGTTTGAACCAAGCTTTGAGGGGAAAAAAAGACCTGCTCTAGTGAATCGAAAAGAGGTGATGTTTCATCAGGACAATGCGTGACCCCACACAGCAAGAATCACATCACAAAAGATCGAAGAACTTGGTTGGGAGAAAATTCCTCATCGACCTTATTCTCCCAATCTTGCTCCTTCAGACTACCATTTGTTTCGTAGCTTACAGAATCATTTGGAAGAAACAGCTTTTGTAACACAGGAAGAGGTTAAAACTGACATTTGTGAGTTCTTTACAGTAATGGAATTAGTAAGCTTGTTAATAGATGGAAGGAAGTCTTAGATAATCAGGGAAAATACATTGTTGATTGAATCTGTAATTAAATATAACATTTGGTCACTTGTTTTCTTTATTCAAAATTCGGACAGAACTTATGGGATGACCTGATATTTAATATGTAGTTCACACCTTAAACTGTTAATTACTAAACCAGTTCACCATTTTAGGGAAGCAGATACCGAATCATTTTAGAAATTTAAACAATTTATGATGAATCTGTAAAAATGATGTTCCTCAGGTATGAGGGGGAATACGTCTCTTCACAACTAACTTATTTTATTTAATACGTTTAAATTGTCTATCACTGAATATTCTTGGGAAAGTTAGTGGAGTGGTTTCCCTATTGCTATCTCCAGGGTTTTAAATATAGAGTTACCTTTTTCCTAAATTGGTTACCCTATCAAAGCTAGAGAGCCCAGTCTCATCCACTGTTTTACCTATAGGTAGTGTGGGATATAAGAAATGGATTGATGTCTAAAAACATTAGTGCAAAGTGAATACAATGACTGTAGCCAGAATTTGAACTTGGGAAACCTTGTCCATTTTCCATGCCACCCACACTTGTATTTGTCTTTGAAACTAATTAAACACACAGAAAAACCTTATCTTTATAGTCAAGAAGGTTAGAGTTAATGTCTAATTTTCTTTTTCATTTTTACCAGCTCAATGAACAACTTGCACAGCTGATAAACATTTGAGAATTACTTTTAATATGTAATGAATGTGAAAGCATTTTCTTATTTTAATGAGATTACATTAGCAGGGAAGGCTAGGTTCTGTAATCTTGGCTGGCTACCAGTCTAGGAGAAAGAAAATTCTGAATTAAAAAACCAGAAATAGACTGCACTCCTGTCACCAACTATGGGTAAAAACTGGGGTGCTGAACTTTATTGATGGAGCATTCTGAGCTTTAAGAAAGTAGCTGACATAAATTCCATGCCAGCCTCTGCAAGTATGGTGACTGTTGTTTTGTGGGGTCGGGGGTTATGGGCGGGGGGCAATTTGTTTCTTTCCTTTTTTACACATTTCTCTTTGTTCTTCCTCTTTCAGTGTGTTTCATTTTGTTGTTTATTTATTTATGTCTGTCGGTGAAGTTGCTTGATACTTAATCAAGTCTCTTCCTCAACTAATTTTTCATTGACTCATATAGCCATTTTTTTTTACCCACAATTCAATGTTTTTTTCACCAACCATTATAATTATGGGTAAGGCAGGTAACATCCACTAAGACAATTCTTTTACATGCCCACCCCCACCAATCATCTGGATCATTTACCCCTATTATGTAGACATGAGCCCAACACGGCGGTCAACTCTCTCTTTGTGATCTTCACACTGGTTCAATTTAGGACTCACACTTCAGCAGTTCAGAGCATTCCTCCTCTTCTGACAAGGCTATAACTGATCTCAAATCCAGGAAATGTTGGGGTACACCATTCACCAATATATTATTCAATGACTCTACCCTGGTTATTGTCCTTCTTCCCCACTCTGTTGTTCATCGGGTGCCAGGTGGCTTTACCCATGGTTCTTTCCCAATCCTGATGGATATCGGTATATCATGTCTGGTTACAGGCACAACTCTTGAATGTCTCCACATGTACTTACATATAGCCTTTTCTCACACTGTCTCCTCTTTTTGTCTTGACTTAGATGACATATTATATGAAAACACCACTTTGGCCGGCAATGTTTCTCCCCTTTCAGTGATGGCATTTATTGTTTGGGGATTTCTTTCTACAATCCACCAAGCCTGTAGGCAGCCCTGAAATAGTGTCTGACATTCCATCTATCACACATTGCTCGAAGAGTTTCCCAGCAAAATGCTGCACCAACAAGACTTCCTCCACTGGTCCTAACTCTAAAAAGATCTCATTGAGCACTTACGCAATGATGATTGTGGTTTCTGATCGGATCTCTACCTCTAGTTAGAAAGCATGATGCCAGTGACGTCTGTGAAACAGGATATAACAGAGGAATGAAAAAAAACCTGATGATGATGAGCTTTGGTTATGAGAATGAAAATTTGACAGTTAAGGAAACAAAAATTATTTTTATTCATAACAGGGATCTTTGAAGTTATGGGAATAAATGACCTTATCCTTAAATTACAGAAACTGAGAAAAGATGAAAAGAGAATTTATGTACTTACTGAGGTCCATACATCATACATAGGTTTCCCAAGTAACCATTTGTAAATCCTAATAATGTGATCAGTACAACTGGGGTTATGTCGTTATTGAAAAGAGGAAGAGAGGTATTTATTGATGGAAGATGGCCACTAGGTACTGTGTTGCATTGCATCAGAAGAGGAATGAAACAGATGCGAAGACAAGCCAACAAAAGTGCAAGATTACTGTAATGGAGTTTCAGCTGAAAGAGAAAGGAACAGTCTATAATAATATCAATATGTAACGTGATGTACAAAGCATTATGTCTGTTGGGACTTTGAAAATACACAAAAATAAAGAAACAAAAATACATTTTTAAATTCTCAATTTCATCAAATCCAGAAATAGACATGAAGAAGCAGATTTTCTGTTTAATTAAAAGAAAGAAAAAACTTGTAATTCCAACGAATGATTTATTTTTTTATGAGAATATTTCGGCTAGCAGTTGCAAGTCTTAGTCACTCATTAATTTGAGTAAAAACAGTACAAAGGAGCGATCAAGACTTGCAACCGCTAACCGAAATATTCCTATAAAAAAATAAATAATTCGTTGGAATTACACGTTTTTGCTTTCTTTTAATTATGCAACTATCAATGGAGACAAGCATTCTAACTCAGGTTTTCTGTTGTCCAATGGGGTCGTAGCGGTAAGAATACCATTTGAGGTGCTGTAAACTAGCCTCTTCCTCTTTATCTAGTTGCTGGTATACAGTGAGAGCACTGTCTCACAGGTGCAGCAGCAATATTTGCTCGATGTCCATTCTCTTGCAAAAGTCACATATCATCTCAATGCATTGAATCCATTATATAATTGGTTTGTCTGTAGCAGTACCACCAAACTCTGGAATTATTCAATAGTTAAATATTTTGTCCATGACGAAATTCAATCTTACAAAATAGCTTGTGACCAATAGTCACAATGAGCCTGGCTCAGTACAGGTCAAGAGTTCTGTCGATTCTTTTTCCTGCTTGTCTGTGTAGTTCACCTTTTATTCAGGTTTTTGACCACGCATGACAGTTTTAAAAGCACTAAAACCATGCATGCACTTTGCCTAAATTGTAAATGGTGGCTTCAACCAGTAGGTAAAGGCATCATGGCCCTTATAGCCATGAGTAGGTTAGAATTCCTTAGTCCAATTTCACCATACTTCCCTGCACACTTTAATCTTAACCTCTTCAAATCAAAGGTCATTTGTCATCTTTCCTCCTTACCCTCATAATTTTGCTTAAGTCAGCATTACTATTTTGACTAATGTTCTACCATGAGTGGCTCACAAGCCTTTTATTGGGCAACATCTATATAATGCTAAAACTCTAATCATGTATGTATGTATGTTTGTTCCCAAGATACAGCTTAAATGATACATAATACTCCAACCAATTTAGGATACCTTGAACCCCTGCCAAGTATGGTGCTAAATTTAATTCAAATTAGATAAGAGGTTCTTGAGATGGGGTCATTTTACTGTTTTTACAGCATTTCTAATGGGAAATTAAGTATTTGTTTTCGATATACATTCTTATATCAATCTGCATATATAAACAAACACTTTCATATAATATTCCAACTATTATATGTGTGAAAAAGAATAAACATTCATAATACATTATACCAAGATTATTAAATAAATTTAAATATATGTAAAACAAAATATGTTTATACAATTTGCTATACCACATTGGAACTTTTTTATAAACAAAAAATATCTTGATAGGTGAAGATGCTATGTGGGTGTGTCATTGTAAAACATAATCAGTATGGATGGAAAATTATGTTACATGACTTGATTGTAAATAGATGCATGCTGGTTTGCAGCTGTTATGTATTTTAAAATAAATGCAAGAAAGAAACATATAACACAAAGTATAATTATTATTTTCAAAAAAAATTCCTAGAAAAATGAAACTAAATGCACAAAAAGGAGGTATCCATACTTTATTTCAATAAATATGAATTTCCCTATGCAGATAATTGCTTTTTGTTTGTTTTTTTGTTTTTAATGAACTTCACCTTTAAAAATTATAACATGGTGAATACTAAAATTTGGTATAAACTGTCACCCCAGCGCTATTATTACTTGAATGGAAAGGTATTTAGTGTGATATCAGATTGTGATTCCATTCTAAAAAAAAAAAAAAAAATTTCTTATTAATTTCTTATTGCATTTGATCTAAGTAATATTGTATAATGTGAGTAATAATAAATACTAGCAGTAGAGCCTGACATTGCCCGGGGATGTAACAGTAAGAGATAGATCAAGTATCGGCCATCATAAAGACTGAAAAATAAAATTGACAAAGATTATTGTTTAAGGTTGACGGACATGCATGTCTTAATTAGTTTCTTTTTTTGTTTTTTTTTACGAATTGGTCAAACCCAAACAAAAACATTGTTTTCAATCGTTATGAGTCTACCGATTGAATAGAATTTTTCAATTTTATTATAAACAATTGTCTTGTAAATGGAATTTTTAAAGCATTTTGAATGTAAAAATAAAAAAAAAAAGTGTGCAAGACAATAAGAAACACTACCTGCCAAAAAAAAAAGTGAAGTTTTGTTGAAATCGGGTTGAAAATGTAGAAATCCGATCCCATATATAAACGAACACACACACACACAAACAACCTGGGTTTTATAATAAGTATAATTCGATATGAGTTGTCCCTCTTTCATTCTCGCGACAGCGATGCCTTAATCGTGTCTTCAAATTGATTTTGTGCAAAAACAATTGTGTTTTTCCAATTTTTGGCACTGTCAGAACCACCGCAAGGTAATTTTACATAGTCTTGTGAAGTTTTGTTGAAATCGGTTGAAAAATGTAGGAAATCCGATCCAGTATATAAATGAACAGACACACACAACCTGGGTTTTATAATAAGTATGATTACAATAACTTGTATTGCAAATGCAAATTAAAATATGTGTAATTGATAATAAAATTGATATCGTTACCTCATCATTTTGTATCATGAACTGCTTTTAAAAGGAACCCAACACGTTTATGGGTGGTCTAGTTGAGTATTTAAAAAAAACAAAAAAAACCTTTGGTATTTTATATACATATATATATATATATCTATATAAAACATATTCTGTGTGTTGATTTCAAAGCTCCTCCACAACTGAAAGGTTGATGTCTTGCCTGTCCTTTTCCTCCTCTCCTCTGAACCTCTCAGCATGGAGCAAAGGTTTGCTAGTTAACCTTATTGCTTATTCTTTGTTGTGAGTTCAATTCCAAAGTCAGTAAATTGAAAGGATAAAAACTTTTTGCAAAAGAAGTTTTATTCTTACCAATTGAAATTTGCTGGCTACTATCCGTCCACTCAAATCGGCAGCATTAAAGCAAAGAAAGCAGACAGTTGGCGTAAAAAAAGGCCCTGCAATGAAATGAAGAAATATATATATATATATATATATATATGTGTGTGTGTGTGTGTGTGTGAAGAAGTGTAAGTTTCTTTGATGGTCCATGTGGTAGATCTGAAAGGCGTCAAGAACACCCCAACCTGCTCATTGATGAAATGAACATCACTACACATAAAATGCTAATGTCCCAACACCGAAATTACAACTGCGTATTTATGTATGCCTGAACACATGGATATATATCTGTGCCTAGCCTGGAATTGCTTATATGGATGTGTTGGTGTGAACTAAAATGTGTACATCTGTATGCATGTGACTATGCGTAGGATAGTGCCAACTCAAACAAACACAGAAGTAGATTTCCCCCTCCCACCACCAAATATAGTCCATCAAGCATAAATAGATCAAATTTAAAAAAATAAACCAGTTTGTCTGATGATTGCAAAAGCATGAAACCCAGGTTCACAAACTTATATATATATATATATATATATATATATATATAAGTTATTTATATAATATGGATAATTCCAAGGAGGATGTAATCCAGAGAGCTCAATGTAAAAACAGAGCAAGTATCAATTATATACCTATCAGTTCATTACAAAAGACATGCAGATATTGTGTCAGCTTGTCTTAACCAAATGTAAAGAAAGTCGACTTAAAATTATCAATGTCTATAGAGCTGAGATTAAATGAAGGTCTCAGTTCAAAATTCCTTGAAGGTTACCTGGATCAACTGGCACCTGATGAAATGTGATCTGGGACAGTGAAAAAGTTTCATCTCCCCAAGAAAATATGATACATCCCCCCCCCCAATACACATACTCTGCTACATCTCAATTTTCATAAGGTAGTAATCATAAAAAAATACAAATTCTATTGTAACCTAATTATGTACAATAATGGATCATATGCAATATAGGTGAACAAATGAAAATAAATACAAAGTATGTAAATACAAATTAGAGACATGTCATAATAGATCATTCCATCTTAAATAAAACAACAATGATATGTGGCAGTTTTTAACATCAACTGTAGATTTTTCTTGTGTTAAAAAGTGGAAGAATTTTAACACATTCAATATTATAGATAAAAAAATAGTGAATTTAATTTAGTGTTTTTATTGTCTTTTACACTTAGCATAAGCAAAACAAATTCAGAGTTTTGGATGAAAAAAAAAAACACCAGAATGATGTCAAAATCTGCAAAAAAGAGGTTCATTCTTTAATAGTCAGTTGTGCTGAGTTCAGCTTGTAATGTATCCAAATGTAGATAGAAAAAATGCAAATATTGATATAGTGAAAGTCATGAAGTATTGTCCCTCACCCTATCCCAAATCAGTGGGTAGTACACACCAGCTCTGGTTGTGATGGCAACTAAATCAAGATGTAAATAATGGTAACTCCTTATCCCAGAAATTCAGACAGAAATTAGTCTGTTATTGGGCTACAATATTTGACAGTACCTGAAGACTGAGATATCAAGTTCTTTAAACAAATTTTAAAATACCACCCACCACTTATGCTGATAGCTGTATTTTGATTGTTTCTGATGTGATCATCATTATGTGTACAAAGAGAATTAAACTTTGATGAATAGCAAGTTAAACTATAAGAGATAAGGAGGTTGAAATATAAATGACTAAAAATGAAACCTGATATTATCTACAGTGGGAGAAGTATATTCTGAACATTGATGGACAAAGATTATATTGATTTTTCTACTTTTGTTAGGAAATTTAAGCTGTGAACGTATACGTCTGTTGTATTCTTTTTGCAAAATGGCTGTTTGAAATGGCCATTATCGCCGGCTATTAGTTTTCTAATATGAGATCCTGTTGATAAATCCACATGAAGGCATTTCTCTGCAGCATGTGTCCACAAACTGTTACTTAATTGATCAAAAAGTTTTGCTATTAGGAAAATTGAGTTTTAACTACATTTCAAAAGATCATCGCTTATTACAACCTGAATTTTTTCTAATCTTATTTATCAACCTGTCGATCTATTGGTGCATTGATGAAACAGTTTGTTCCTGTCCATTGACTTTTTTATGGCAGCACTTTTGAACTGGGCTTCCCTGGAACACAAAGGTTACATGATACAATGCTAGTAATTCCATTATATAGAAACACTTTTTTTATTATTTAGTTACCATTTACAACTTGTTTCATACTTAACAATTTTTCAAAGTGGGTATGTTGTTTTACAACATGTGATCATGTCAACTTCCTGTCATCTGACTCTTTACACTACACTTTATCATACAACCAACTTATCCTATACCTCCCTGAGCCAAGGAACTTTAATACTTTCGTTGTTCTTGAACTTCTTCTCCAACCACTTTTTTCTCTTCCCCTTGAGGTTTATGCCGTTCTTTTTAATGGCGATGTTGGTCTTATTTCATCTTCTGTGTCCGAGTCACTCTATCACTCATAGGCTTGTCTTCTATTACATTTTCCTGATCTGAACAACTCATCCTTATTTCTTTATCAAGATCTTCCTCCATTACAACATCTTCCTCTTCAATTCTGGATCTTATTTGGTCAGGATGAACCATTAGGTTTTTCTCTTTCTTTGATATAATGGCTGTATTATATTCCCTTTGCATGATGAAATTAGCTTTCTCACGTCTTGTTACTTTGTATTTTTTATAACAAATCTTTTCATTCATTGAGTAAGACATTGTTAATGGAGATCTTATTTATCTTTCCGTTAATGCAGATGGGCTTTACAATCTGTTTGCATGTGGAATCATCCTATAACTAAGCAATAACTGTGGTAAGTAACTGTCTATAGTATCTCTACTTGGGGAAAATGCCTTCAATCCCATTTTTACTGTCAGCAGCATCCTTTCCACAATCTTGTTAGATTGTGGGTGCTACGGTGGTGTTTTGTAAGGGAAGCAGCCAATCTGCCTCAGCTATTTACATAAATCTATATTATGTCAATTTTATAACTCCTTTCTAGGGTTAAAAAAAAAACTCTAGTGGTTTATAGTCTGACCTTAATAGGAACTTTTTACCTAATAAAAATTGTCAAGCTCTGTGTTCCAGACAATGGCCAATGCCTCTTTTTTCAATATCTGAATATTGATTGTTTTGTTATTTTTTGTTTATTTAAAAACTACGAATACATGCATAAACACAAGTAAATGTAATAATAACAATAACAAAGCAATTGATAATAAAGTTAACAACATTATAAAAAAGCCACAAAACTACATCTGGATCCACAATTATTTCCACTGAATAATTTAAAACATAACTGTTACTGCCCACCCAATTACCATTAGAATAATACAATAGACCTACCCATAATGCATCAAAAATTATTTAAATTGCCAAGACAAGACACTGATGATTGCATTTAAGCATGAAACAGACTGCGTGTTGACCTCAATGTCCACTTTTATATTTATATTATATAACAAAGAATATGTTATTCTAAAAAAAAAATAGTCAACCAGGGTATTTCTAGAATTAATTGTTCTTTTAAGCAAGCTGTTTTTGTAATTACATTGTTCAACATTGAGAGATATAATAATAAATAAAATTGTTAATTATTTTTACTCAGTTTTGTAGATTTTGAAATCCGCTCATCAGGAGATAAACATATTTCTCACTTTCACTCTTCATACTTTTCTTAACATAAATAATAATTTAGTGTCTTTTAAGAAAAATATGATGCTTCCTGCTTTCAAGAATGGTGAAAGTTGGGCTGTGGCTCTAGATATCTCAAAGGCATTTGACAAGGTTTAGCATGCTGGCTTTTTGTGCAAGCTCCAGGGCTATGGTGTCACAGCCCAAATATTTAGTCTAATTCAATTGTTCCTAACAAATACTGAAATGAAAGTTGTGTTGAATGGGCTCACTTCTAGATCTTTTCATAAGAACGAGGGGGTCTTCCAGAGACCTATGATGTTTCTGATCTTCATCAATGATCTCCCTGATGTCATTAGTTCTCAACTAGGTATTTATACAGATGATACTAACATTTATTATTATCTTAGTAACAAATCTGACAAAGTATACCAATCAACTGGTCTTGAAAAGGACCTCCAATGAGTGGTTAACTGGGGCAAGAAATGGCTTGTAAATTTTAATGCCTCCAAAACAAAACTGCTTTCCACCTCAAACGTTTTTTGTGCCTGCCATCAGCATGACTGATGTTAAACTTCAGGAGAGCAACATCCTACGACTTCTTGGCCCACATGTTTCCCACTGACATGATGTGGAGCAACTGAATCAATTGCAAGGAAAGTTGCGTCACTGTGTTGTGCCAGAAGATTTTTCTCATCAGAATGCATCTTCTACATTTACAAATCTACCATTCCTCGTTTGTATACTGTTGCTATATTTGGCTTGGTGCTCCTTCTGGATATCTCAAAATTCTTGACAATATTCAAAGAAACGTTTGTAATGTAATTGATCCTGACCTGGCATCTCAACTTCAGTTACTTTCTCACTAACATGATGTGGCTTCCCTCTGTCTTTTCTACAAATATTTTTATGGCAACTTTATTGACAAGTTTTTTTTCCCTGGTTCTCCAATTATGTGAATTTAAGCGTGCTACTAAATTAGCAACTAGGTCTCACCATTTCATTGTTGAAATAGCTAAATGCAACTAACACTTCTATTCCAACAGATTATTTTCTCACATTTCCTACTTTTGTTTTCTTGCTTCCATGATAACTACAATCTTCAAAAATTTAAATGCAATGTCGATTGCTATGTTCTGTCTTCTTGAACTATGTCCATTTTTTTTTTAACTTTTTTCAATCCTCCCCATTCTCAGTCATCTGTTTTACTTTTGCTCGCTATAACCCCCTGCTTACTAGTGGCAGTACTGCTTTGCTTGGGATGAAATGATTAAAACAAACAAACTATAAAGCAAGGTTCTATTGTGACTTTAAATCACACTTAACCATTCAGATTTTAACAGGTCATGTTTTCTTTATTCAGGCAAAATAAATACTGTTTAAAATAAACGGATCGTCTACTCAAACACAAGTATCAATTAAAAATAACATTTGAAGTAATAAAAATATGTTGGATTAACAAATAAAATCTAATTCTTTAGGAATTGTTTATGGCAAAGAAAACTGATGCAAGGAATTGTGTTTCATCAGAACAATGCTTCAACACACAAGTTTTTGCTTTCAATGACTGTTGTGCATGTTTGTGGCTTTTAAATAGTTGATCACCCTCCCCTATTCTCCCGATTTGACCCCATCTGACTAACATCTGAACCGCAATATGAAAAATCATTTGGCTAGAAACCAATATTGCAATAATGTTTATGTCATATCTAATGTTGATATTTTTAACCAACAGGATGAAGGCTTCTTCACCAATGAGATCCAAGCATTGTTTGGTTACATTACAGGAGAGTATCTTGGTCAGTCTATGAACTTTTCAATGTCACTTTAACAATACATTTTTAGGATGTGGTCAATTTCACTCGTTTAATCCTTGACATCACTGCATATGATTGAAAATATACAATTTTTCTTCGTTTTCTTTGGGAGTGGGAGGTAATTTGGAAGATTTTTCTTTCACCCATATACTCTTGACATCTTTTTTTATGTATTTTGATGATTTCATTTGAAGTTCATTTTTTTTTTTATTTCAAATGAAAACCTGGAAAATTTTCAGCATATGTCAGTAAAGTTTTCCCTTTACCAAAATTATAGCTTATAATTATAGTTTATGTATATGGAAAAATAAAGTATATGACTTAAACAAAATGGTTACTTCTTCAGCGTTATCCTCCAAAACTACCACTTTTCAAATTGTCTACCAATTTGAAAAGCTTCCTGGGTATGACGATAAACTACATCCAACAGCAAGGCCTCTGATCAGAAGGTTTTTAATTGCTGGTGTTCCCAGGTTCACCCTGAACTGGGGTGGTAGCACCTGTTAGGACCCCAGCTATGGGCAAATTGTTGACTCCAAACTGGGGTCAATACACTATGAAAATGTAAAAATAGGTTTTAATATGAACAATACTTTTTTGAAAAAAAATATCACCAACAATATAGTTTTGGTAAAAATTAAATATTACCAGCAATAAAACACTTGTTGGCATTAAATAACCCATTGAGGTTGATATGCTGTAAAACAAACCAAACCAAACCAATTTGAAAAAGCAAGCCATATTCCAGAATTTTTCGTCTTCGATCATTACTCATCTATTGCCAAACATTTTGTACTGTCAGATGAATCCTTTGAAGGCCAAATGAGAAGCTTTCAGTTTGAAACAAGTTTATGTTATTGACTTTAAAATAAATTATTATTGGATTTTAATTTGGGTTTGCTTAATGTTGCTACAAGACACTCAGGAACTGAGTCACCAGGAGATGGACCAATCAGAGATTAACATGCCAAGTAGAAGTTAAACATTCATGGCAACTGCTTCGATGAATTTTTGCTTGGAACTATTTTGTAAGAATAATTTTCTGTTGATAAAAAAAAAAAAATAAACAAGAAAACTTCAGGTAGGAAATTCCATTCACTTTCTGATTTGCTCTTACAAATGACAATGAATTATTTATTGTGTATTTTATTAACAAATTTCTTCTCCTAATGATAAAGACTGAGACTTTTTTATTTTTTTATTTGGTTTTCAATCTGAAAAGGCTCACCACTTTTAACATATTGGATATAGTTTTTTTTTTTGTTTTGGTTTTCCTTGATCTAGTTTAACCAGTTTTCTGACCGTCCTGGGCATCATGATAAACTACATCCATGTCCTGGGTAAGACGATAAACTACACCCAACAGCCTCTGATCAGGAGGTTTTGAGGAGCGTGGAACCACTTCTTAATTGCTGGTGTTCCCAGGTCCACCCTGACCCGGGTGGTAGCATCTGTTAGGGCCCCAGCTATGGGCAAATAGTTAACCCCAAACTAGGGTTAAAACACTATGAAATTGTAAAAATAGGTTTTAATACCAGCAATAGATTTTTGTAAAAAATTATTGCCATCAATGAATTTTTTAAGGAAAATTACCAGTAATACATTTTTGAAAAAAAATATTACAAGCAATACATTTTTTGAAAAAAAATATTACCAGCAATAAAAATCTTATTGGCATTAAATAGCCCACTGAGGTTGATATGCTGTAAAACAAACCAAACCAAACCTGACAGAGATGAGAATTGAAACATATTGTGGGGTGAAGCTGACCAGTTGGTGAAGGACTGATCAATGTTTACAGATTTCCTGACACTATTTGAATTAATTATTAGCGTGTTAATCTTATTTTGCTAATTTTACAGACAATTGGCATTAAATAACCAACTGAGGTTGATATGCTGTAAAACAAATCAAACCAGTTTTCTGATATTTAGTCATTTTAGTTTGGTTGCTTTTCTTTCCTTATTGTTTGAAAACAACTTCTTTGATTTAGTTGGAAATTTTTGCTCATAACAAGAGAAAATAAAATAAGTTACAAGTTTTTTTTTTTAAATGACCATCTCATTTTTCAGTGTCTATCTTTGCATTTTTGTCTTGCTCAAAAATAACAGCAAAATAACAAACCTTCTTCCATGTCAGTAATTGCGGACAAAGAAAGAACAAAAGATGTCACTCAAAAGACGAAGAGACAAGTTTGTCATATTTACAATTGTATGAAGAATACTTACTGAACCATGGAACAATTTTTGCTTCATTGACAGGTTTTATAAGGGAAGCAATTCCGGGGAAACAGGAGAGAGTCACAAGAAAGATCAAATAACTAGCAAGACCCCATCTCCAAATCTAAAAAAATATAAAAGTAATAATTAAAACAAATTCAAATCAGGTTTTCATAGTAAAAATAATTATATAAATAACAATTCTTTTTTCATTTTAAATATAACAACATATATATAGTGAAAACAGTGTTATATATCAGAATTAATTTTGGAAGGGATTTTTTTTTCTCGTTAGGCTGAGAACCTTTCAGCATTGTGTATGTGTGTGTGTGTGTGTGACTGGAGACTGGGTTCAAAACTGAGTGGTGACATACTGTTCTATACTTAAATGCAATCTTCAGGCCATCTGAAGTTTGCATTCAAGCATGAAACAGACTGTCACCACTCTGTGTCCACCGTTATATTCACACACTCCCTATCTTTGATATTGAGCACTTTTACCAATAAATATACCTTAAAACAATATTTTGATCATATATATACAGGGTGCGATGACTAAATTGTCGTCTAAACGATGCAAAAATGAAAATAACACTGACATCTCATTTTAACAGATATATTTATGAAAATTACACAAAAAATATCTTGAAATACTAAAGAGTAAATTTATTCAATAATATCACCATTGGCTTCAAGCACAGCTTCCAAATGACTTACCCATCACACCCTGTATATGTATTTCTAAAGAATTAATGGATTTACTTTTAATCTGACACTTTCACTATGTGACAATGTAATCATCTTAGGAAAGCAATTTTATTAAGACGTGAGAGGTGGTGATGATAAAAGCATGTATAAAGTGAGAGTGAGAGAGAAAGTGATGTTAAATTGAATATCATATATAATTTTGGAAAGAAATGAAAATTAAAAATCAGCTTGGAAAATAAGAATAAATTAAAAATTTTTTAATTGGAACTGTGAAGATTTGAAACTGAGAATCCTAAGTAAAGAGGTCATTAAGGATGATAGTTGAATTCACGTGTGACTCATATCACTGGGGGCAGGACTGAAATTCTGACAGGAGTTTTAGCTTATTTTCACTGGCCTAGATCATACTATTCTTTAATCTGCTCATATTCATAAATCATTTTGTAGGCAGACAAAGGAATTTATTTGACCCTGGACGTCTGTTGTCACCTCTGATAATGCAGGACGCACGAGTGGTATCCTCCATAAATATGAGTCGCTAGGATGTGCTGAAAGTCAGTTAAGTTCAATCCCAGTCTTGGATGCTAGCTGTGTCAATTAGCTCATCATGTCAAGCACACTTGAAAAGTAATTTTGCATCCACAAATTTCATAGCAGCGGACAAGTGAATTGAAGAAAGACAAGTATCAACACAATTTTTCTTTACATTCTCGTACCTACCATCTGTATAGAAATAATTTAGTTCCACTGGATAATTTTCATTGTTCTTATTAATAAATCTTTATATATTGAAGATAATTCCATTCATCAAGTTGTCTGTTCTTATGAAGGCATTATTCACACAGTAACTGGACCAAAAGAACACTACGGCTTGGCAAGAACAACAAAAAGTAAATAATCTTTCTTTCTTTTGCCGGGAATCACAACACAGCCCACTAGATGATATGACCAACTGTGAATAGGACCATAACCAACAGGAACACACCCAGCAAAGTTACCATGGGCAACGGGTGTATGTTCATAATTACTTCAAACATTATTATCGTGCATACTCTTTATTTGAAATAAGACGCACAATTTTTATTTATTAAACAGTGTATATTATAGACTGCACATTTGAGAAATTTTAGTAAAGGAAAATGTGTACCAGAGCAGGGAGTGAACTTGTGTCCACCTTAGATCAAGTGGGCATTATCATTCGGCCATAGTGAATGGCACAGCAAGCAAGTTTCTATTTCCCCTTAGTGGAGCAGTCCATTTATGAATAAAAAAAAAAAAAAAAAACACAAAATTGTACATGGAGATTATATATATATATATATATATATATATATATATGAAGAAATATAGCCTTAAGATGTGCTATATTTATAGGGATAAAGTACTCAATATCAGAGATAGAGTGTGTGTAAATATAGTGTAAAACATAAAGTCAACACTTAGAGGTGACAGTCTGTTTCATGCTAGATGCAATCATCAGGCCACCTGACAATTGCATCTAGCATGAAACAGACTGTCGCCTCTAAGTGTTGACTTCTATGTTCACTTTTTTATACATATATATATATATATATATATATATATATATATATATATATATATGTATGTATGTATATATATATATATATATATTTGGTTGGATTGATCAATTCAACCAAATATGTTAGCTCTATCTCTGCTATTGAACACTTTCTAATAAGTACCGCGCATATAATATATATATATGTGTGTGTGTGTGTGTGTTTGTATAGTGCTATTCATTCTGTTTTTGTCACTGGTGAATTCTATAAATGGCTTACCCTTTTCAAAACATACATGAACGACTTTGATTCTTTCGTATCAACCTCAGATTCATCATAATCATCAGCACTTTCCATGGTTTCGCAGGCTTAAAAAAAATAAAATAAAAATTCACATAAAACCAGTTAAGCTTACTTATAAAAGAATCAACTTTAAACTTTGTTTGCCTATTTACACTATTGTCCTCATCTTTATTGTCACATTCACAACGTTTCAGCCATTGTATACTCCTCCAACCTTCTTCAAGTGATATTTAAACCGAACCCTTTATTTAGTCCACAGTGGTGGATTGTTCTAATTCCATGTTGTTGTAATGTAGGCAAAGAGTCTGTTGAGATTGGGGGTTAAACACCTAACTGATTGCTCTCTCACTGACTCTGGAGATAATAGGGAGAGAGAGGGAAAAGAGACGGGAAGTAATAAAAAATAACACTGCTTTGAAAAACAAAATACCCACGGAACCAACTTCACAAGATACCGTTGTCTTGCTGACTGCTGGTTATTTCCCCCAGCATCTAACAAAGACATGTTTCTTGACCAGTTGCAGATAGGCCCGTATCTAGCTAGACATTCCAAACTGTCCTGTTGCTAATGGGAAAAACATGTCCACATGTGATCTGAGGCCTCTTTTGCATCTGTACTGACGAGTGTTCATGACACATGTAGCATGCCTTTGGATATCCAAGTTTTTGTTCTCTCTGCTGAGGTCAGGGACTGAACTTACTTTTTGGATCAATCAACCAATGCTTTTATCCACTGGGCCATATTTTCTTAGGGACACTAGCAAGTGAATTTTGGGGGCTTATAAACCCAATGTCTCAGCACCCATTTTTTTACCAGAACTCATATTACAATTTTTTTATCCCCTGAAGACAGCCGGAGCGTACAATAACCAAAATGTCATTTATGTGACAATAAAGATGGAGACAACAGCCCAACCAAGGTAAATAGCAACAATACCTCATCTCAGAAATATAGGCAGATGTTTCTTTTTCTAGTTTTAGAAAAAAAATAACATAATAGTAACATATCAAAATTGGCAAATATGGATAAATGTTCCCACAATAAGACATAGTATCAAAAGAGCAGTTTTCCCCAGGACTCTGTTCTTTTGATGACATTCACTCTTTGGCAACGTTTATTGTTTTAAAAAGCAAATGTATTAAAAATATGGAAGAGAAGTATTGACAGTAGTCAAGAATTCATGTATCCCCATCTTTGTTGTTTTTAGCACATTTTAGGTAATGAAGATAGCATCAGTTAAAAGATGAAAGATTATTTACTGAAAAATTGTCAATGTTTATTTTGACTTTCTGAAAAAATTTTATTTGAGATTTTCACATGTGAGTCTTGAAACACAGTCTTTCCAGTTATTATTGTTGTTGCTCTTTCATGAATTACATATTTTTATCTCTCAGCTTTGAACAGTTTGTTTTTATCATAACAAAGACACTGCCAATGGTCCCACCAGTGAAAGGGAGATGACTCTTGCGGCAAATATATAAATACACAAAGCATATTATACATAAATGATTTTTATCCATCTATGTTTCACAGGTCCAATGCCTGTTGATGTCAACAGCATAATCGAAGGATTATCTACATTTATTAAAATCTATTGTGCTATTGTTTTACAAACATTCTAACTGCACCCCATGTCATTTTTAAGTATGTCTCTCTGTTAGGTTGACTAGCTAAACCCTGTTGCAACTGCCTGCTCAGACATATTTGGGTTTCTTCAACACTCTAAGATCATAGATACAGTTCCTGGGAAAGGGTGTACAATCTGGCAGGGTCAGCAGTTTGAAACAAATGGACCACTTATGCTAGAAAACCTTTGATGGTAGACTCCGGTTTCATATATAAGGCTTAGTTTAACCTCTGATACAGTTTTCAGTCATTCCAAAATGGTGCCATATGCTGTGATTGTCTACCTAGACCTCCTTGACAAACTGACCATGATGAGATTTGGACCAAAATCACATGGTTGGAATGATAATGTTGTGACGACTCAACCATGTGCCCACTGTATCCCATGTCTGTACAGTGGCAAAGTTTTGAATTCAGAGTTTAACCCATAGCTGGAGGAAGAAAAGAGAGATTCCTATTTTTCATAAGATATTTGTGTGAGAGTGAATGTAACAACATCAACTAGAATTCAAACTCGGCTTGCCAATTTCTTGTTCCGAGCTGCTAACACTTAAACGACAATCACTCCTTATATTATCATATAATATTATTTTTGATTAATATTGTATATTATTGTCTTATATTACTTTAGTATAATATTATTTCACATTATTTTATATAAATATCACTTACGCCTTAATTATATTAGGTCTGTGCAAATTTTCACAATTTTTCATTAAAATAGTTTTCTACCACATACAGAGTTTGTGGTTTTCAAAAATGAGAGTATTTTTGCACAGATAATTTGTGAGGGGAGAGCAGATTGTGCATATACTCACTTATCTACTCTTTCCTGTCTGCTATTGTGTCATGCCAGTGACAAGACTACAGCCAAAATGACTGCTAATAGAAGAGAGTGAAAGGATAGGTTTATGCCTTCCTAATGATATTTTAGTTTTAGGGACAACAACAGTTACCCATAGCCTGGAAAAATTGAGAATTTCCTCTTTGTTTTAATCAAGAAATCTCTTTCATGTGTGCAATATATGTTGGTTAGCAGTTGTTAATGATAGAAAATAAATATTATGAATGGAATTTTCAAGAAGTCTTAACCAATAATTGGAATAAGAAAAAGAACATAACTTACCATCATTTAACATGTAAAATTTGGAAAATTTCTGTAAAAAGTAAAAAAATAAAATTTATTCTTAGAATGTTTTGAGTTGTTTTGGTATCATGGGTAGGACTGATATCCAAACTTTCATTCAACTTTAATGATTACATATAAAATGGTACAGTAAATACTAAAAGTATACATATTAGGTTGGGTCATAAGTAATTTCCGTTTTTGGCCACCAATTGTAATGTTGAATGTATCATCCTAACTTCTAATCATATGTAGCAATTTTTTTTATTTTTTATTAATCATTTCACCATAAGTAAGGCGATAATGCCACTAAGATGCAAGGGGGTACTGGGTGTGGAAGAGAATGAGAGGACTTTAGTGAGGTGAAAAAGACAGGAGTCAGGAAGGCAGAAGATTGTGATTGATGTTGCATTTAAATTTTTGAAGGTCATATGTGACAGGGAAGCAAGGAATCAGATGAGAGTTCCACAGGTGAGAAGTATGAGAAAAGAAACTGTTAGAATAGAACTTATGGTTACATCTAGCCACTTCAACAGTAAAACAATGAGATCTAGTAGATGTGACAAGGACGGGAGCTCATTAGAATAATTGCCACAAAAATATTTATAAAAAAGACAGAGGGAAGCCATATCATGTCAGTGGGAAGAATGACCGAAATCATGATGCCAGGTTTTGGGATTTTCTTGAGAATCTCAAACAGGAGTACCAGACCAGATATGGCAGCAATATTTAATGTACAGACAAATGGTAGATTTATAAATGTGCAAGAGGAATTCTGACAAGTGAACCAACTTTCATAGCAGAAGGCTTAACAGTTGAATCCATATAATCACTCCACTTGATGTCAGAAGAAAATGTGAGACCAAGAAGGTGCAATGATTTGCTCTCCTGAAGATTAGCATCAGCCATGTAGACAGAAGGCAAAAATGTTTCTGTATGATAATTAACAGGCATTCAAATTTACAAGCCATTTCTTGTTCCAGTTAACAACTGATTGGAGGTCATTTTCAAGAGCAGTTGCCAGTTTTACTTTTACAGACCTATCAGACTTACTATTTAGACAGGAGTAAATGTCATCAGTATAAATACTGAGTTGGAAACTGATGACATCAGGAAAGTCGTTGATGAAGAGAAGAAACAATGTAGGTCAAGGATAGAGCCCTGGAAGATGACCGCATTCATGTGAAAAGATAAATTTAGAGTACACTAACATACCTTAGTTTTTGCATGGCAGTGGCAGCATACACAGTGGATTAAAGGGAAAGATGTTGTTCTTGTCCATGAAACAACATCTGAACAATTTGGGAACATGGCTGGTCTGTTCTACTGCAAATGATCTTATACCAGCTGATTATTAGCTTTTTGGATTGCTATGAAACACTTTGATGTTGAAAACATTCTCTAATCAAAACAAGATCCATGAGTTTATTGAAAACATTTTCACATCAAAATCTGCAGAATTTTATTCAAAAGATTTCAAAGAACAGTTCAAGTGACAAAAAGTCATTGCAAATAATGGGGAATATAGAATTGAATAAAATGTAATTCTGCATTATTTTTTGAAGAATAAATCTGATAAAGAAAAATTGGAAATTATTTATGACTCAACCTAGTAGAAAGTCAAGAGATGACAAAACTTGTACATTTAGATGAGATTCAAAGAAAAGAATGGTTATAATATCATTTTAAAAAGTCAATCATTTAACATTTATCTCTGTTGCTAAAAGTAAACAGGTTTCACTCAATCTTTAGTTTCTATTGAAACTGAGGAGAAATGGGATTGTCAGTGGTCAGGAACTAATGCAAACATTGTTGACAAAGTATGGTTGTTATATATATAAAATAAATGTCTTGCAAATTATTTTACTAAAGTATTTCAATAAAAAACGGAAAAAAGGATTGTCAATAAACAAGGACAGATTAATATAAATATTAGACAGAATAAAATTATCTGTACAATTTTTACTCTAGAAACGCACTGAAAATGATTTTACTCTAGAAACGCACTGAAAATGATTTTACTCTAGAAACGCACTGAAAATGATTTTACTCTAGAAACGCACTGAAAATGATTTTACACAAGAAACACTGAAAATTATTTTACTCTAGAAATGCACTGTGCACCTAAGGAAGTACAGAGGGAAGGTATATGATGGAAAGTCATGATAAACACAACAAACATGTAGATATTGGTTTGAATAAAAAGAGAAATGTACCAGAAAAAAGAGGCTGGCATAGCCAACAAGTGCAATGACTGTAATAGTCAAAGCAGAGGCAAAAAAAATGTTGGCACTCAGGATGATTGAGTTTTTATCAAGTGACTCGCTTCCACTTGCTGCAATCGAGAAAATGTGTGCTAAGGCTGCAATTGTTCCTCCAAGGGCCTACAAGAAAAAAAAAAAAAAATATTAAAAAAAAATGGTTTCACAATTTTATGGTATATCAACATAGAGGCCTTATTTAATATTAAATATAAATCTATATTTATTATTTTGACTGTGAAGTTGATATATGAAACCTTTGACTTTAACGTCTTCAATGGCAATTTGTATATTAATAAATAAATTCTTCTTTTTAATCATTTCACCCCAAGAAAGGTGATAATGCCACAAAGATACAAGGGGTTACTGAAAGTGAATGAGAATAAAAACATTTATAGTGAGGAGAAAGAACAATAAAAGAACATGATTCAAGAAGACAGAAGATGGCAATTAATGTTGGATTTAAATTTTTGCAGATCATAAGCAGCAGCAAAGCAAGAAACTGTAAGAGAGTTCTACTGGTGAGAAGCGCAAGAAAAGAAACTATTAGAATAGTCAACAGACTTTGTGTAGTATATTGCTGCTGACAAACACTTATATATAAAAATATATAACTATCTTTATTGTTTGAGTTGCAGTAAATGGATAGAATGAAGAAGAAACAAAGAGGTTAGGATTGAGCACACAGTAATTGATGGAGACAAATCTTCGGTGAACCACTAGCCAGCCTCTCTGTCCAGATCAAGAATTGGACACCCACACAACTTCACGTGGTTCTGCCTTCTGGTATATCGCCTATGCAACTTCTTCCAGCATGTACCCACTCAAGCACGCATTTCCTTCTGCTTAGGACACCTGTGCACCCTGTTTATTCTAGGCTCAGGACATCTGTGTACCCTGTTTATTTTAGCCACTGGATGCATTTCCTGTTTATGCTATCACCAGTTCCAATTTCTGCTCACACAGTGATGCAGCAGAAATAAAGGCCAAAGGTCATTCCTCAACTATCCAACACTAGTTGGCAATATAATCTTCTTCTGTGTGCTGTGTCCCTTCAGGATGTAGCCAATCATGGCCCTCCACAATTCCCTGTTCTTCATAGGTCTTAGTAAATTTTGTCTTTTTGCTATCTCTCTTAATCCATGTTCTGCCAATCATTTACACATGCTCATTAGGTAGGTTATGCACTGTTTTTTTCTGTCTCACTTGCCTTTAATATGTCCCATGAGTGTTAAATTTTCTAAGCCCTCTTTCCTCATTATGTGTTTCAGAAATTGTCTCTTTTTGATGTTAATATAAATATGTTTGTCATTGCTCATGTCCATAGTATTCTCAGCATCCTTATGTAGAATCACATTTCTGTTACCTCATGTATCTACTTGATGTGATGAGACTGCACAACATTCACTGCCATATAGAAAAGATTTTCCAAGCGAAGCTTAGATGTGGCACAAGGCCAAAAGCATGGGGCATCCAGTGAGGATCGAACTCACTTTTCAGTAGTAACTGATCTAGCAAGACAAGCTTGCTAACCATTACACCATGCCAAGGTGCCCTCACTGCCATATAGAAGGAACAATTTTAGATTAGAATTAAGTACTTGTTTCTAACGAGATTTTCATGTTTCTTAATATATTGCTTAGTTTTTGGAACGCATCTTTCGTTATCCAATACGCCATCCAGATTTTGGTGTCATATTTTCCGTTAAATATATATATTTAAATTTTTGTACTTGTTTGATTTCTCAGATTTGTAATTTGCATTGGGGGGGGGTCTTCTTTTTGCTGACAACCATACATTTAGTCGTTTAGTCTTCTTAATTCTTACCATACATTTAGTCTTCTTATTTCCTTTACTACCATCTGTAGGTGTTCCTGTACTTTCCTTTCTAGATCTACTATCAAACACTGTGTCATCTGCATATCTAATGTTAAGATTGTGGCCACCAATAATGACTCTTGCTAGAACATCTAATTCTCTCGGAATCACCTCATAAGGTTAAATAAGTCTGGCAAGAAGACCCATACTTGTCTTATGGCCCTTTCTATTTTTGTGCATTTACTGAATTCATTTTCTATTTAAAAAATTTTGGATTATACCAATATCGTTCCCAAATATGGTTACCTAGCAGTTACAACAGTTCTTGGATTGCTCTCTTTGATACCATTCTGTCTTAAATGGAACTGCATTGTTCTTATCCTATTTCTGGTCAAATTCACCTGCACGATCTAGTCATCAAAATTCAAATTGTTATATAGCTCATTATGCTTATTGTCAAATGGAGTTCACATTTATTTGAAACTAGCTTCTTGGGCAACGCTATGAAAATGGATCTACTTAGTTCTTCTGGCATATTACCAATTTTGCAGATTTCATTTATTATGTCTGTAATTTTGTCAATGTTGAAATCATTTAAGGTTGCCAGCATCTCAGTTACAATTCTGCCTGGTCTTGTTTCTTTATTTCTGTTCAATTTGGCCCTTGGCTGATTTCATTTCAGATTTTAATATTTCTAGTCCTTCAATATTTCTGTGTATTGTGAATTGTTTTCTTTTGTCATGGGTGAGTTCTCCAATGAGGTTGAGTCACCAAGCAGGAAAGTAGATTAGAATAATTGCTATGAAAATATTTATAGAAAAGGCACAGGGCAGCCATGTTATGGTGGTAGGAAAGTGATTGAAGTCGAGATACCAGGTCAGGACCAATAACCTCAAACCCTTCTTTGGATTTTGTTGAGAATCTTGTGATATGGGCACTAGACAAGATGTGGTAGCAATATTCAATGCACAGACATGATAAATTCATAAACTTGCAAGATGGCACTACAGTGAACTTTTCTTCAGATCAGACCCTAGCAATATATTCAATATAATCATTCTACTCGATGTCAGTGGAAAAAATGAGACTGAGAAGACTCAATGAATTGCTCTTCTGGAGGTTAGCATAGGCCATACTAATAGAAGGCAAAAATGCTTCTCTATTAATTTCAGATTTTATTGAGAGGATTTATTAAATATGTTAAGTCTTTTGTCCTGAGACTTACATATTCAGTAACAAGAATTCTGGTGATAAGAGAAAAATAAAATCTGGTTAGCATTTAGATTTGTGAGGCAAATCTCTCAAACTGTTCTGGTTTATTTTCACTTCCTATATTGAAATCCATTTGTAAAAATGCTCTACCCACACTCATCATGTTAGTCTGGGGATTTATAATTATAAATGTTAATGTGATGCTGAATATATTGGTAGAACTAATCAGAGGTTGGAGCCTAGGCACATACCAGCTAAGATCCATAAAAGTTAATATAAAAATTTGTATATACTTGCTCATACCTCTAGTTCTGCAACAGCAGAACACTTAATAAATAATCTGACTTGTGCCTTGTCTTTCACCAAGGACTTTTTTCACGGTAATCAGTAGAGTGCATTCAGATTGCCAGATGAGACTTCTTGAGACAATTTATATTAAGCCTAAGCAGTCTTCCCTCTGAAAGTAGGAGAAATGGCTTCTGAGTCTGTAAATGCAATCTATCTGTGATTTATATTTTTGATTCTTTGGTCATATAATTCATCTCCCTTTTTTTAGCCATTGTGCATATATTCATATGTTTTTGGCCTCGATTTACGTTAAAGAGTGGGGGGGGAGCAATAACTCATTAATCCTTTTTGGTTAGTTTCTTATTTGTTGTATTTTTCAATCCACCAATTTACAGCGAGTATTTTTTTATCTTTGCTCTTCCTACCCACCCCCACTTTGTTTTATATATTTTCATATATATTTATATATACTTTTAAAATGTTTTTAAAACCTTAAGAAAATAACACAATAAATTGAATTTTAGTGCCTACAGCATTTGATTCCTGTAGAAATTTAAGCAAGTTTTTTGCCTTTTTTTTTTTTACCATTGTCTTTTGACTTTACCCCACCTCACTAATTCAAGTTATTTTTGGTATTAATAAATTAAATATTTCTGCTGGGAGGGGAGACATTTTGATGATTAGCATTTTAACTTGAAATTTGTTTTGGTTAAGATTAGCACTTAAACATTGTATTAAAAATGCATTGAAAATCGAGAAGAAAGGTATTGTCAGTGGTCAGGAATGAAGGCAACCATTACTGATAGAAAAGAGTTATATGTGTAATATAAATGGATTGCTAATAATTTTACTATAGGAATGCATTGAAAATCAGGATGAAATGAACTGTCAGTGGTCAGGATTGAATGCAAGCATTACTGATAGAACAGGGCTTTTATATGTATAATGTAATTACATTGATAATGATTTTACCATAAGAATGTAAGCGATCTGGGATTGCAAAGGAAATATTTGTCGCAGATTACTTAATAAATCACTAAGTTCATACTTGAACATTGGGGGAAGAAAGAAATGCCGAAAATTCAATTCGCAGGTACTATCTCACAATTGATGCAACCAGTCAGAAAAATAACTCACTCTCCAACAAACACAGTAGCCAAAATACCCGAATTTTCTTGCCGAGTCAAGAACACCAACTGCTTTTATTGGCAAAGTATTTTTTCCATTCATCGACAGCTTGGAGAGGACGCTCAATTTTTGCATATCAAAATACTTTTATACTGACTCCTGTGACTGACTAGTTTTTTTAATTTAAATATTCCATCTTCAGCATGTCATGCGGAATACGTGCCCTTTTTTGGGGATAAGTAATTTTCTTTTTTGTCACATTTTCTGTCGTAGGATACACGTGACGCACTGTTGTTTGGTTTGACAAGGTAAGTTGCCATTTTCTTCACTATAAAGAATGCATTGAAACTCAGCAAGAAAAGGATAGTCAATGTTCAAGCATTACTGATAAAATAGTGCAATTAGATGTAGAATGTAATTACATTATTAATGATTTTACTATAGAAATTCATTGAACATCAAGAAGAAAGGTATTGTCTGTGGTCAAGAATTAAGGCAAAGATTATTGAAGAGAGATGGTTATTTGGTTGTTATTTTCGATAAAGATATCACATTAGAGCAAAGAGAGAATAACATTATTGAAAGTGGTAGAAGCCATAAATGTAAAAAGAGAAATGGATTCTAAGAGTAGAGAAGAAAGGACCCCCCCCCACAAAGTGAAGTGAATCTCTTACCTGGCCATTCATTACAGCTGCAATGTAATTCACAGGCATTATACTCGCTAAGCCAAATACAGATGCAGTCAGTACAGAACTGGAAGCTGGAATAAAGGGTAAATAAATTAATATCTATCTTGATTAACTACAATCATCATGGAACACTTTCTTCACCCAGGACCATTGAAAGGGTCTCGTGCCCCCCCCCGTTTATCATATAGGGCCCCAACTCAACTACATCTCAATTTTTCAAGGTAGCAGCATTTATATAAAATACAAATTTCATAGTAATCTAATTATGTGCAATAATGGATCATATGTAATATGGGTGAACAATTCAACTAGACAAACTGAAAATAAATACAATGTATCTAAATACAAATTAGAGACATGTCATAATAGATCATCCCATCTTAAATCAACAAACTTTTGCAGCAATTTCATGCAAACAAACAAAATACTTACCACTTAGTAATACGATGGTCATCATCACAATAATAAAAAATGTATTTTGATCTGGAAAAGACAAGATAAATGATAAATAAAATTATAGACAAAACTTTTTCCAGATTATAAACAGAAATTAAAAATCTATAGAATTTTAATGCAAAGCAAGATAATCAAAATCATTGTCGAACTGAAAATTTCATACCATTTTAGAAAGAGATTAGATTTCATTTTAGAAAAGAAGAGAGAGAGATTAGATTTCATTTTAGAAAAGAAGAGAGAGAGATTAGATTTCATTTTAGAAGAGAAGAGAGAGAGATTAGATTTCATTTTAGAAGAGAAGAGAGAGAGATTAGATTTCATTTTAGAAGAGAAGAGAGAGAGATTAGATTTCATTTTAGAAGAGAAGAGAGAGATTATTTAATTTTGTGTTGTATTTAAGTTTTTTTTTTTTACCGATTCATCCTTCTATCAGTATTTTTGCAGATTTTAAAATTCTTTTTCAACTCCATGTTCTACAAAGTGTGATCTGATATCAAAACAAAGTGCTTGAATTTGGAGAATTAAATAATGACATATTAAGTTTTAGAATATATTTTTTTTAAATTCCTCAATTACAGCTAAAGAATCTCAAGACTAGAAAAACCATTTCTGATGAAACTGAAAACTTGAAAATTTAATGGTGAGAGAGAGAATGCAAAACCTATCCAAGCAAGTGATCACCTTCCTGTTATATGTAAACTTAGAACAAAACTACAGAGACTGAAGAGGTCTAATGCAGCATCCAAATTGCAATACAGCAGACTCTTGAACCTAAAGGAGAAATATATGGAGAATGTGATATGAGGGACAAAATGGAAATGGGAAACACGAGAGAAGCTTTACGGGCATCAGCAAACAAAAGCATCCTAAAAGAAAATTGACAAAGAAGAAAAATGAATAGATGAGAAATGAGATTCTGGAGATGATGAAAAGGAGACAGAAAACAATGCCAAGACATGGAATGGAATGCAAAAAACTACATAAAAGTAATAAGGGACAAATGCATACAAGCTAAAAAGGAATGGCTTAACAAAAAAATGTGCAGAAACAGAAAGAGTAAATATCACAGATAAAGGAGATATGCATAAAAAATAAGAGAACTAACAGGACAAAAGATATGATCAACTGCCTGAAAGATGAAGGAGAGACTTGAAGCAACAGAAATGTGGTTCTACAGAAAGATGATGAGGATACCATGAACTGAACATGTGATCAATGACGAGGTTTTAAAGAAAATGGAAACTAATGCATCACATGAGGCAGTTGAAATTTCTGGGGTAAGTAATGAGAAAGGAGGGCTTGGAAAATCTGATACTCACAGGACAGCAGCATGTAACATACTTGATGAACTTGAGTAAATGGATGGTAGAACAGGGTTTGGGAGAAATAACAAAAAGATAAAACTTATTAAGAATTACAAGGACAGGAAGATGTGGAGGGCCATAATCGCCTACATCCTGTTAGATTATGGCACATAAAAGAAAAATGAAAATAGTTGTCTGGGAAATAAGAGAAAATACATAAATCAATAAAGAAGGCAATATTCAGCTTATCTTTTACTTATTCCAAAGACACACATACTTACAATCGTCTGAGTTGACATTGACAAATATAATTGTGATGAACAACAAAATGGCAATGAAGAGAAAACTCAAGCTGATGCGATATTTTTGGTGAAGGCTGCAATAAACAAAAAAATAGTTCTTAGAATTACAGGAAAATTTCCAAAATTCAATAATCTCAATTATTTCTAAATACAGAATTAAAACTTCATCTCATGATGGATAACACATCAATAACAACAAGCTAATCAAAATTGTAAATACTTTTTAAAAATTATAAAATATTTATACAGAGTGCGGCAAAAATATCTCCCATATAATGGTAAGACATTAGCTAAATGAAGACACCATTGCCACTAATGTCTTACTATTATGTGGGAAGTATTTCTGCTGCAAACTGTAAAAAAAAAAAAAAAAAAATGGTAAGTATGGAGGTTTATATTTAAAGAGTTCTTTAAGAACTATCTTCACTTTTATGATTTATACTCTTATATCATGGTGCTTTAATGTTGGTAATATACTTTTGTCATATTTGGTCATCCATACTATCCATACTTCGGCTTGTCCTATTTATAAGGTAACCAAAAAAGCCTTGCTATTATTTATGTCAAATGGGAAGAAGTGAAAACTGATATGCAAATAGTGCGACATATGCTGAAAAAGCAAGGATGGGAATATTGCTCTTGACCAATGCAGGTGTAATGTGTACGACACATTAGTCATTAGCACGAGCAGCAGTAAAGAAATATGATGGTGTTAAAGCAGCTTGTTTAGGGTTGTCTGATTCATGTCTTTAAGGTGGGCTTGTCTGCAGCTGCATCATGTCGTTGAATATATCAAGACTTTGAGGATAATGCTGTGAGTGGATGCACTGCCAGGCATTGGTTCCAGAAGTTCAGATTGTGAGATCTGTCCATTTGGGATGAACCCTACAGTGGCTGGCCATAAGTCCTTGATGATGAGGCCCTGAAGGCGGCCATAGAGAAGGACAACATCCAAACTTGTGGTGATCTTGCCAAATGTTTCCATGTTTCTGATAAAACAGTTAGACCCCTTGCACTGCATAGGGAAGGTGTACAAGTTGAGCAATGCTGTTGGGAGTCAAGTAACAATGAGTGACCAGCCTGTTTCTTGTTTTTTAATAATTAAATCCTCTATTTTTATTCTGGAGGTTATTTTTGAAAAATTTTTAAATAAAGAATTCAATTTTTTAATCATTAAACATCAGCCATGGTCTAATCAAAGTTACTTTTGAATGACAAAAATTGGCATTAAAAGCAAATTTAAAACCCTCTTTAAAAAGTATTTTTATTTCTTCATGACTATGGGTTATTTTCTTGCAATTAAAACCAAAATTAAAACTTATTGTAATAGGATCTGAAATTTTAATTAAAAGTCTTTGAATTATTGCTACAATTTGTAATGTGTTTTGTACCTGTCTAATTGAGATGTTGGTATAAATTATACCATTTTATGCAGACATATTTTGGGATTATATATACAAAATATGAAATGTATATTTGTTTTTCATTTTTAGATATGAACAAAAACACAGCATATTTCATATGTTACAAAGCAATGGGCATTGGTCTTGATGAACAGTGATACAACAAAACAGTGTCTGTAGATGGCTATATGCCCCCTTTCATTGAGCACTTTAGAAGAAAGGGAATTTCTTGGCTACTGCGGATTAATGCTAAAAGCTCTTTACTGTGAATTGAGCCCTCTGGTAGTCTGTAATGCTTATATATCGTATATAATGCATTAAAAATTCCCTTTCTCTGTAGCGTGTGCTGATGGTCTAAGGGTGAACGTCTCCAATTGATGTCAAATTGGTCGAATTTCAATCCGGCTTTAAGCAATCGCATGTCTAGCCACACTTATGAGCTTTGATACAGCAAAACAGTCTGGCTGTGGATGACTAATATATATATATATATATATATATATATATATATATATAATATATATATATATATATGTATGTATGTATGTATGTATGGTGTATTTCAGCAGCAATAATTCTTTTCAAACATGTTTTTTTGAATAATATTGTAAAGGGTACAAAAGGTACTTATCTCCCTTTGGTGGAGGTAAGTCATGTAGGTCACATTAGTCTTAGTAACATCACTCCATACAGTGCAATTTTCAGAACAAGTGCCACTACTTCTTTAGTGGGCTGTAAATATAAGTGATTTGGGGAGTAAGGTGTCTGGAAATTGTCCATTTCCAGACACAAAAACAAATTTCTACTATTCTCCCTGCAAGCACATCATGACCAAAAAGATTACAAAGAATCTCATAATCAAAATCCAATAAACTTGTTTCTGAATACCAAAACTTAAAAGCAAATAAATGTATACAAAACAAATAATATTATATTATATATATATATATATATATATATATATATATATATATATATATATATATACACACACACACACCCAAATTATAGGATTGGTGTATATGGAATAAATTCCAATAACCAACAAATACTATTCTTAAAAGAGTGCTCAATACAGAGTAGAGCAAATATAATTATTTATTTGAAAATTATAACATTATTATGTTATGAAATCACTACAAAAATAACCATTTTGTTTCAACACTTCTGGTGTCTTATCAAGTGATGGTGTTGAATGTAGAATAAAGGGTTTTAAAAGGTTCAAATCAATCAAACACGCCTCGCTAGGGGAAACGTTGTTACATAAGCTGGAATGACCAATCATATATATATATATATATATATATATATATATATATATATATATATATATATATATATGAGATTATTATAAAAACAAAGACTTTAAGAGATCATGGTGATATTTTATTTCATTAGAACTGATATGGATCCAACTCATCAGACTGCATATTGAAATACAAATAAATGGATAAAATTTTACAGGTAGAAATTGAATTTAAATAATTTAACCATAAATTATTTTTAAGAAGATTTAAAATTTGGGGAAGGGAGAGAAAGAAAAAAAGAAATGTATTTAGAAAAGGATAAGGTGATGGGGAGAGGAAAAGAAGAAGGATACGTAAACAAAGCTGGGAAGGGAAAAGAAATATATACACACACATATATATATATATATATATATATATATATATATATATATATATATATATAACAATAATAATCTAATAAGTATAAGTAACTATACTCGTCTGGAAAAACCTTAGGTGTTTTGGCTTGTACATGAACAAACCAATACCCTGTGTACCCTGATGAGCCACATAGGTGAAACCTAGGTAGGTTTGCCTGGCTCTTTAGATTCATAGTTTATATATATATTATATATATATATATATATATATATATATATATATAAATATAAATCTGTTGAAATAGACATATCAAAGTGGTGGTGAGGCAGGGAGACATACTGACCTAATAATCACAGTGAAGTAGAAAGGGATCATTCAATTGGGGGTGGTGAAAGTGACAAGGAGAAAAAAAAAAAAAAAAAAGAGGAAAACAAGGAAGAGGAAGATTAAAACGGTTTAAAACCAGCAATTTTTCATATACAAATAGATAGATTTTCCATCTAAAGCATGTAGCCAAAAGATTGTGCCACTTTTGCATTTTCTAGGAAATAATAATAAAAAAATAATAGAGAAAAAGGATGCAAAGAATTTAGAATATATATATATATATACTATTTTCCATCAAAAATTCTTTTAAAAATAGGTTATAATAAAAAAGGATATTATTAAAAAGGAATAAAATTAAGGATAAAAATATACGTAATAATAATAATAATAGAATAAAGGTAAAAAATCAAAAATTTTAAGTTACGAAGAAAAATATGCAATTATATACTAACACAAGCCAAATCATCAATATATGTCTAAAAACATATAAACACACATATAAATGCCATACATATATAGCACCATATTCAGAAAAATTATATATCTCTTCTAATTCTGTCTAATTTTGAGTATATATAAGACAAATATAACACCCACAACAAAAACAGAATATGGCTAATTATGCAAACAACATAATCAATCAATATATACACACAAAAAATAAATAAACCCACAACTGTGAACAAACACATACTAAAAGGTCATGACCATAAATAAATGCAACTTATTTACAAAGACACATACTATAATCTCCCCCCCACCACCACCACCCTGCAACCAACAGCCATCCAGCAGTCATGGAAATAAATAACCCATCTAGGAGTCATAGACATAAATAAACCTAAGTATTAGCCCTAAATAAAAGATTCTGCCTTAACAAGGCTTTAATAAGGAATGACAAGTTTTTTGAACTAAGGAAATTTCCAAATTCTGGTAAATGCATGAAATGGCTAAAGAGAAAAAATAGCTAAAAACAGTAAAAAGTTGTGGCAAGTGTGTTCACATCAGAAGATTAGTGTCAATAGGTGGTAGGATAATTATTTTATAGAAAAAATTTGTGAACGGAACAAACTGACTCAACGGTTAAAATACATAATATATTCATATTTATTTTCTTTTGAGTTTTCCTTCTATACAGTTTCTGCCAATCTTGATTTTGAGGTTTCAATCCTGATTACAGATTTTCAATTAGTAAAGTTTGATTTGATAAAGTAGCTGGATTTTCCGAAACATTATGGACAGAAAGCATTTATGAACATTATGAAAAGGTTTGAAATTATGAAACATTATGAAGCATTTATGAACATTATGAAAAGGTTTGAAATTATAAAACATTATGAAGCATTTATGAACATTATGAAAATGTTTGAAATTATGAAACATTATGAAGCATTTATGAACATTATGAAAATGTTTGAAATTATGAAACATTATGAACAGAAAGCATTATAAACATTATGAAAATGTTTGTCCAAATAATTTATTGGATCTTGTTTGTGTTTTGGAAAATTTGAAATCAGTTTGAAGAATTCTAAGAAGAAATTCCCCTAAAAATGAAAAGTTCTACTTACTATTTGACAATGATAACTGTGAATATGTTGAAAAGAACATTCGGAATGGTAGCTGCAACTGCCAAGTCACTTTCAAAATCTTTTTGCTGATCTGTTGTTGGTTCAATTGAATTGGTAGTTGTGTTTCTCAATTTATACATGAAATACTGACAATAAAAAGTAAAGTCAACTTTAAAATAGAAAATAAATTTATGTAACATTTAATTAAAAAAAAAAAGTTTCATGATTATAAACTATCAATAGGACAAAAAGCTGGGTAATATTTAACCTTTGTGCCCCCCCCCCAAAAAAAAACAGGGTGTGCCAAAATGACAGTTATGCTCTTTACACCACTCCATTACTTCTATAGACATTTGACTCCATCAGCAATGTTTATTTACAAGATTATAAAAGATATTTATGTACCTTTTTAAAAGATTTATTATTTACCATTATATATAGAAATAGCTTTGAAAAGAAATCTTTTTATTAAAAAGTTTATAAATAATTATCAAAATATTTAAGAGGAAGAAATGCTCTCAACTTATTTGAATGGATTTATGTGGTGAGGGAAAATGAAAGAAATGCCTGGAAATTGTTTTACTTTTCAAAATTTATAATTACTCATCATTATGTTTATTTAAATTTTCTTGTTCACAGACATTTTTATAAATTTATGAATAAAAAATGTTCTTTTCACATTTATTTCTCTATAAAATGTTTAATAATAAAATATTTCATTATAGTTGGTTCAGATATATTTATAATCTTGTAAATATAAAATTATTCTCTTGTAATTAAGCAATCTAATAAATAAATAATGTTTAATATGTTTGTTGTCAATTCTCACAAATAAGGAAAACAAATCTGTTTTCATATGTTCGAGTTTTATTGAAATTCTAAATCATCACTTTTTAAAACAATAAACATTGCCAAGGAAGTCAAAAGTGTATACAGTAATACGGGTGTCAAGGGAATAGCTGTCCTTTTTAACACACCTTACTTTTTTTTTTTTTTTCTTACGAGCAAAAAAAGTTAAACATTGCCAAAAACTGTACAGAGAGAATGTAAGCGGTAATAGAAAAGAATTTCATTATGAAATCTCAAACTGTGATGAGGTGTTTAAAACAATTAGAAAAGGTTGTTTATATAACACAGGTAGGAACCTGCTATAAAGCAATCATGAGAAAAAATGTTCTATAATGGCTAGTGTAGAAAGTTCAGTCCTCACTTAATATACTAATATGATGACCTTGTGCCAGACTTACCTTTGTAAGTATTGTAAAAGATCTGAGATCTGATTGTGCTAGCATATCAAGCATATTTTTTCAAATGGGTTTTTACAGGAGAGAAGGCCTCTTATTGTGCCTCTTATACTTTTTTTCTTCTTCCATATCTGGCAGTGGGGGGGGATGGATTCTATTCCTTCATTCAATTTCAGAGTTTTTCTTCTCCAAGACTTATTGTGCATAACAAGGCTAAAGAGCTGAGTCTACTCTGCTATTTATTGAGAGCTAGGACGAAAGACCATTATTTTTAATGCCATGTCTCTTCAGGATGTAGGTGAACATAGCTCATCATTTTCTTTTATATCTGCAAATTGCCATGGCAAATCCATATATAGTAACAATAATTATGTAATAACAAATCCGTATACATGGTGGGATAGATAAATTGTTGTTTAAATTATGCAAAAACGAAAATAATACTTGTAGTATGAACCATCTCTGCCATAAATGGATCTGTCCTGAAGAGATATATTCAGGAGAACTCTGTTAATATGCAGAGTATATTAAAGCTAAAGGATATTAAAGATATTAAAGATAAGGGATAAGTATTGTCTAAAACAATTCTACTACAATTTAATATACTCTTGTTGTTAACCATTTTGAAAATGGTTAATTTACTCTGTCCGGAGAAACTTATTATTGACCCCAACATGTTTGACGCCGAACTGGAATATCGTCACAGGAGAGTAACTTTCAGGAACTTCTTGAGCATATACTGTAACCAAAGCTACACTACCTCACCAAATATGTCTCAACGCAAGCTTACAAGTATTTTGCAGACATATCTTCCTATAAAGAGGCTTTAACAGTACTGGACAGGATCTACATTAAAAAGAAAAATGAAATAGTTTCTTGACACTGTCTACAAGGCGTCAGCCGTCAGATTCTACTCATGGATTTTATCAAGCCTTGGTAAAACTAAATAAGGATTGTTCATTTTCTTTGGTATCAACAGAACTATATCCAGCCATATTGATCCTAGATGCCTTGATAAACAGGCTACAGTCCACAGATATCCAACAAAGAATACTTGAAAACAGCACCGTAACAATACATCAGGCATATGACCAGGCAAGAGTACTGGATTTAGGTGAACAAAATGCTAAAAATAACAATGCAGTAACATCTGAGACCTTTTCACCTATTTTGACCTCCCAGTTGTATGAAATGCTAGGCTCTCCAAAAATATCAGCCTTACCTAAACACAAGTTTTTTTTTCTGTTGGGGGTGGCTACAGGGGACAAATGCTATACATGCAGAAAGCAGGGACATTGAGCTAACATTTGTAAAAGTAAGAAAAAGGGGAGCAAAACACTAACTTTTTTGCATCATCGAAAATAATTGGTTGCTTATCAACTACGACAATAGAAATCACTGTTAACGAACAGCCACTAAAAGCACCGACTAACATGGGGAGCACAGAAAATTTTTTTAATGCAAGCATTATGAAACTAAATTTGCTGATAATTTACCTATGCCTAATCAAAGTATCAATGGCTAGTTCATCTCTTTCCATACAAATACTTGGATACTGTTTAGTTGATCAACAAGTAAAGGGTACTCAATACCAAGGGGTAAGATGTCTACTAATGAAAGATCTATGCTGTGACCTAATATCAGGGCACGACTTCTTACACCAACACTCATTAGTCGAAATACCCTTCAGAGGCTCTAAGTCACCCTTTAAAGTCTGCAGCTTAGCAGCTATGAGAATGTTGTACCCAATTTAACACCAGATTGTAAACTGATAGCTACTAAATCTAAGTGAAACAATGAGGAGAATACATTATTTATCCAAATTGAAGTTACTTGTATATTCAAGAAAGGTATAATTGAACCCAGCCATTTGCCATGGAGTGGCCAAAAATAGAAAAAGCAAATGGTAATCAACTATTCCCAAACAATAAACCAGTTTACTTTGCTGGATGCCTACCCTCTGCCAAGAGTAGATGATATGATAGAGAAAATAGTCAAAAACAGTCTATTTAGTATTCTGGATGTTAAAAGTGCCTACCATCAGGTAGGCTATAAGGCCCAGTGATAAACTCTATACGGCTTTTGAGGCCAGCGACAAACCATTAATTTCACAGAATACTGTTTAGTTAGTTTTCAAAGAGTGTATAGACCAGATAATATCAGAAGAGAACCTGTAAGGCACCTCTGCTTACATGAATAGTGTAACTATTTGTGGGGAAAAAAATCGAGCGGAACATGACAAAAATCTTAAATTATTCATGGTGGATGTTAAAAGTACAAGCTTACGCTTAACCAAGACAAATATTATTTTAGACGTAAAAATATAAAATTACTTGGATACATAATAAGTACAAACAACATAAAACCCGATTCAGAACATCAGAATCCATTACTCAGCCGACTGGTCCCAAAAGATATACCTGCTCTGCACTATGCATTAGGAATGTTTGCACACTATGCACATTGGATTTCGTCTTTTTCAGACAAAATCCACCCTTTAACAACAGTATAAAACTTTACGTTATCTCCCATAGCAGAGAAAGTGTCTAACGAGTTAAAAAGGGGCATAGCGAAAGCAGGCATTACTACACCCAATCATACACTGGTAGTAGAGACAGACGTCTCAGAATGCACCATAGCTGCCTCTTTTAGACAGTTGGGGAGGGCCATAGCCTTTTTCTCCAGAACCCTGTCTAAATCAGAATATAGGCATTCTGTAATAGGGAAAAAAGCCTATGCTAGTGTCGAATCGCTGAGAAAATGGAGGCATTATTTAATTTGGTGACATTTTAAACTAATTACAGACCAAAAATCAGTCTCATTTATGTTCATCCCGCAAACAACAAGCAAAATTAAAAATGAGAAGATAGCTACATAGAAAATGGAACTCTCATGTTACTCATTCGGTGTAACATACCATCATGGTAAAGAAAATGCAGCTGTGGACACCCCCACCTCTCATGCTGCTTGCAAAGAAGAGTTAAAGAAACTACATAGAGAGTTGTGCCACCCACAGGTGTTATATGCATGGTCCACATGACAAAAAAAAACCTTCCTTAATCAGTAGAGGATGTGAAAGAAATTGCACTGAAAATAAACCTACATTTTACTGTCCTAACACCAGCAACCCTATGAAAGAATTGCATTGGGTTCTAAAGGATCCCTCAAAGTAATGGTCAATGCAAGAAGTATAATGGAATAATTTGGAAAACTGTTCAACTAGCAGCTGCTGATAAAGAGGTAGCTTTAGAGAATTGGGAAGAACTACTCCCAGAGGCCCTGCATGCAATTAGAATAATGCTATGCATTGCCACTAATGCAACACTCCATGAACAATTCCTCCCATTTCCTACAAGAAGTTTGACTGGAGCATCCCTACCATTTTGGCTCTTGAAACCGGGAGTGATATTACTAAAAAGACAGATGAAACTGAATAAGAATGAACCACTGGTAGATCAAGTGGAGCTTCTAGATGTCAATCCAAAGTAGGCGTGTGTCCGTTACCCTGATGTATGTGAAGACACAGTCTCATGAAGGAACTTGACTTCAGCAGGCGATGAATCGGAACCCACAAACCTAAGTGAGGGTTGTCCTCAGGACACTTCAACTGACTATGAAGAAACAGGAACGTGGTCTTCTTATGAAAAAAGAACACTTGAGTTCTGGTCCCTCAATTGGTGACGAATGGGGTTTCACAGAAGAGAGCCCAACCCACTTCTACTGATACTTCTGAGGGTGAGCAAGCCACTCGTATAAGTTTACGAAAATGCAGCAGGATTAAATTCAATTCTAGCGAGAAAGAAGGATGCCTGTTTGTCAGGGACTTCTTAGCGTTTGTGAGAAAAAAACAGGAGAGAATGTGGTATGATCCATCTCCACCATTAATGGATCTGTCCTGAACAGATATATTCAGAAGAACTCTGTTGATATGCAAAGTATATTAAAGCTTAATGATAAGCAATACATGTTGTCTAGAACAATTCTGCTACAACACTGACATCTCATTTTAACAGATAGGTTTATCAAAATTACACAAAAATATCTTGAAATACTAAAGAGTAAATTTATTCAATAAAAAAAAACAATTGCCATTGGCGTCAACCACAGCCTTCACACAACTTCAGAATCTCCTGCAACTCTTCTGGACAGTTTCCTTAATTAAGTTAGTGAATGCTGCCATAATCCTTGCCTTCAGTTCATCTTTGGTGTTACAAGGAACTTTGTTGGTCGCTCACTCAACTGTGCCCCACACATAATAAAGGGTGTTGCAGTCTGGGGAGTTAGGTGGCCAGATGCAAAGGGTGATGTGGTCACAGAAATTGCCTGACAACCATGACTGGGTTGTCCTGCTTGTGTAGCATAGTGGAGAGTCCTGTGACCAGATACAGGGTTTTCCAGCAGCTACCCTGTTGACCCAGGGCAGTACTACTGCCTCAAGGCACTTGATATAGGTCTCCATGTTGAGTTTGAGACCCTCACCAACAAATTCGGGAGTTCTTTTCTTATTAGAATGATCAGAAGGAGTTTTCCAAGCTGCTGTACCTTTGTAATCACTGTCTTCCAGATTGACACCAAAACACTCTGAAATGTTCATACTCGAGCTTCCTATGCAAATGCCAAGCAGTACTGCATGCAGTTTCCAAATTTCTGGCTGAGTGAATTGTGTCATGGTTTTCTATTTCCCATAGACGGTGCTCAACTGACCTTACTAATCAAATCAAAAACAAACAATATGCACACGTGAAATTAAAAATATAAAATGGCGACAATTTTCCCATCACACCCTGTATAGTAATAATTCCCCATCTCGAAAATTTAGACCAAAATAAAAATAAAAAAATCTTAAGAAATAAAAACAAAACTTTATCAATGCCGAGTCTAAACTCAAGGATGAATAAAGAATTGTTGTTTTGACTCACATCATTTGCAGTGATGAAAAAGTTCCAGGGAAGAAGACTCCCAATTCCCATCAAATAAAAAATCCAGTACACAAATTGAAACCTGGAAAAAAAATATGACAATAATAATAATATTAGTACAAACCTGAAGCTGTCAGAGAAAAGAAAAGTACAAGACACTCTAGAACTTTGAGATCTACAATGTTCTAAACATGCAAGCAAAGAAATTGAATTTGGATTTGATAGGAAAAAAAGACTTTTGGGATGATAGGGTAAAAACAAAAAAAGTGAAAATTAAAATAGCAGGGGCTTGTGGTTGGTGGGGGGGTGCTGAGGTAAAGACATAAACAAAGAAAAAAGTTCTTTAAAAAATATTTTTTATTAATATTATTTGCTATTTACCCTCCTTGTGTGTCTTGATTCGTCAAAACATGGACGATTATGATTCTCCACAGTGTCTTATCTTTATTGTTCTCATCAATACTTACACCTTTATGATCTCACTTTGTGATCTCTCTTATTTCTGCATTCAGTTGTTGTAGCCCTTTACTGATTTCTTCTGTCTTCTGTCAATGTATCATGTGAGTGTTAAATTCTCCCAGCCTTTCTTCCTCTCTATGTTCTCCCTGAATATTTCTGTTATAAATCAGCAGTTTCTTTGTGCTTCCTGTTTTTCTTAGAACTTCCTCATTCATCACATGCTCTGCAACTGGTGTTCTCAACATTCATCAATAGAATTGTATCACAGTTCCCATGACAAATTTTGCATATTGCTGCTAATTTTACTATAAATAGGCAATGTTTTTATATAAAAATATATTGCTGGTATTTTTACTATAAAAATGTATTTTTCATATTTTTTTGTTTGAGGGGTTCACTAGTTTGGACTCTAACAGGTGCTACCACTCTGGATTAGGGTGGAACTAGAAACACCAGCAACTAAGAGGTGGTTCACCACTCCTCAAAATCTCCAATCTTCCAACGAGAGACCTTGCTGATAGATGTTGCTTATTGTCATACTCAGAACTGAGGTGGTAGGAAGTGAAGACTGTGAAGATTAGGAGAATAGATAATGACCAAACTTTGACTTGAAGAGGTTAAGATTGTAGTGTTCAGGAGAGCATCTATGTGGGAGTCAGTTCCACAAAGTAGCAATTCCTGAGAAAAAGCTGTCCGAGTGGAACTTTCTCCTGATACTTGGCACATGGAGGAAATGAGTGTGATTCGACTTCGTGGAAGTAGCATAGCAAGTCCCAGTTATAAACGTATGAAATGGTGGCACTAAAGAATGGAGCGCTCATCTGAACATTTACCATGGAAATGGACACGGAGTAAGATAGGTTTGTAACCTATTATCATCAAAAGGACAGCATATGTATTGTAACTATATTAAATATTATTATTATATAAATTGTGTAAGTCAAGATTTGCTTGAGAAAAGAGGCAAAGATTTCTGCTTGGCTTCTGCCCAAATGTGGAAAATGCATTCAAGTCTAGGGTTAATCATTATCTATCCTACATATCCTCATAATCCACACTTCTTATTCCCTCACTTTACCATCTGACAACAATCTCATTCAATAACCCTCTACGTTGAGTGGCTCTTGGGCCTTGTACTAAGTGAAAAATAGAATTTAAAAAACAAAAAAAACATCCTTGACAGTCAATCCACACTTTTCAGTCTTGGTAATTGTTGAAGCTTGAATAAGCATGGAATAATAATAATACAACACAAAATGTACGTAACAAAATGTATTGAAACAATGAAAAAAGGTACACAATATTTACAGGTAGTTTTGGTATATTCTTGGGAAGACTGTTCCTGCAGAATGGGTTGACTAAGTCGCAGTCGGGCAGAGTCTCTGGATTCGATCTCTTAATCTTCCCTCGTCTTCCGGTACCAACCCATATTTATATGGTCGGTACTCCACTTATGTAAATTAGGTGTATCATACACAACAGTAATTAAAAATGTTTCCAAGATCTTGTGGGGGAAGATTTATTCTCCACTCTGCAATCTCTTCCCTGTAGACACAACATTGCAGCCCATCTCTATCTACTCTGTTGCTATTTCCATGACAAATGCTCAGACAATTTCCATTCTTTCATTTCACCCGTTCAGACCTTTACAGTCAGGACATGCTATGTGACTTCCATGGAACTGAATCATCCTCATTTCCTCCATATTCCAAATGTAAGGAGTAAATTCTACCCAGACAGCTTTTTCCCAAGAATTGCAACTTTGTGAAACAGACATCCATGTGGTTGCTTTCTTCAAGACAAAGGTCAATCATTAATCTCTTTATCCTCATAATCTTTTACCACCTACCACCCTTTCTTTCATTCATATCATACTTCATTCATCTAACTTGAGTGGTTTTCAATTGATTGATTGTCTGTTTAAAAGCACACTAGCTCCTTAGGGGGTCATTTAATGCTAAAATTTAATTTTCTTGGGAGTTTTGAAGTAATAAAAATATGATGTATGTTATTCTGCTTTCACAATTGAATACATGGTAGATGATACTCAGCTTTTATGCATATACATGTTTGTTTGGTTTGGTTTGTTTTACGGCATAACCTCAATACATTATTTAACGCCGACAAGATTTTTATTGCTGGTAATAATTTTTTCTTCAAAAATTCATTGCTTGCAAAATATTTTTACGAAAATGTATTACTGGTATTAAAACCTATTTTTACAGTTTCATAGTTTTTTGATCTCAGTTTAGGGGTTAACTATTTGCCTAAACAGGTGCTACCACTCCAGGTCAGGGTGGACCTGGGAACACCAGCAATTAAGAGGTGGTTCCACACTCCTCAAAACCTCCTGATCAAAGGCCTTGCTGCTGGATGTAGTTTATCGTCTTACCCAGGACAAGGATGTAGTTCATCATCATACCCCGGCCAGATACGTGTTTGTGTGGACATAATTATTAGAGGTGGTGATATGTGTTTTATGTTGTAATTTTGTGCAAGTTATATTTTGGAATACAGTTCAATTTCTTTAAGAAATTGTAGGATATTATAAGGATTAATGTCAGGAAAGTTCTTTCATGTTTTATTCCTTGATCTTTTTTAGTGGCATATCAACCGCCATGGGTTATTTAATGCTGAATCTAAATATTTTGTACATAATTTTATACTTTTAGAGTAAAAGTATGTTTTTAAATATATTTTGTAGATCATAAAATATATTGTTAGTAATTTTACTATAAAAAAGTATTTTTATAGTGTTGCATTGATTGTCATTTTGCTATAAAAATGCATTGTTGGTGATTTTATTATAAAAATGTATGGTTGATTTTTGTGTGGGGTTCATTATTTGCCCATAGCCGGGAGGACCCTAATCGGTGCTATCACCTTGTGTCAGGGTGGACCTGAGAACAACAGCAATTAAAAAGTGGTTTCACACTCCTGAAAACCTGTAATCTCTTGATCAGTGGCCTTGCTGATGGATGTAGTTTATTGTCATACCCAGGACAGAGTGGCTTTTGTGCTTTGTATTGGGTGAACTTTAGTATAAAAAGAAATAATTCTTCTTTTTTATTTTGGTGTATTCATTTTTGTCGATTTGCAAACAAGCTGTTTGTTCGCAATACAAATTGTGGATTATTCACATATTCTTTCCATGTAGAGCAAGCTTTTATTTTATTTTAAATTTTATTTTAAAATATTTCATTGATATTCATTGTTAGTTATTTCTGAACAGAAAGAACACAACTAGTGGCAGTGTACATGTCTTTGTGAATACTTACTTGTCCTTGGGTGGTATTTCCTTATTATTGATGAGCTTTACTGTCTCCGACATATTGGAACGGTTTCTTTTTGCCAAAGTCTACAAATCAAAAGGAAATTTGATACTTTAGTAGGCAAATCATTTTTTAATCCTTTTTTTAAAACCAATCGTTACCTCAAGTAAAATATGAGCAGATATAATTTTATATGTGACCTCATCAGTTAAAAACTTGAAAAAAATATGTTGACCATTATATATATATGAAGAAATATAGTCTTAAGATGTGCTATATTTATGAGATAAAGTGATCAATATCAGTGGTAGAGCATGGGTAAAAATAAAAAATAAAAATAAAAACAAGCAAAATAAATTAACCCAAATAAATAAATAAATAAATAAACAAATAAACGACTTCCAGCAAAATAACCACCAGAATAGACTACCCACAATGCACCACTGACCCGTATATATAAATAGCTGAGAAAAAAAAAACAGCACTCGTGGCCTGACGATTGTATCTAGCATGAAACAGCCTGTCGCCTCTAAGTGTTGACTTCAATGTTCACTTTTATATATATAGTTATATAAATAAATAAATGTGCGTGTGTTCAGTAGTGCAAAGGTTCCTAGTACCGTACTTTTGGAAAATAAAAGACTAAATCCAAAGTAGAATGCTAGTGTAAATTTTTGTGTATATCTTGTATAATATATGTATAAGGGTCAAATGGTGTATGGTAGTAGGCAACCCCTGGTTTCAAGAATACCCAAGATGAATATGGACATGGAAAAGCCCAGGGGAAGAAACAAAAAAAAAAAAAACAACAAATCGACTAGCTAACTATAAACAAGAGGTTCGGAAATGCAGTTTTACATTGCAAAACATATCCAAGTGCCAACTGTGAAAGCGACAATCTTCCAGTGATATGTAAACTTAAAGTGAAACTATGCAAATTGCAATAAGACTCTTGAATGATCCGAATCTGAACGAGAAATATATGAAGAGTGTGAAAAGTAGATACAACGGACAAAATGAAAATGGAAACACAACATGGGGCACATTAAGAGAAGCTTTAGTAACATCAACAATTTAGATCATCACAAAGGAAGATGAAGAAAAAAAGATGAATGGATGACAGATGAAATTTTCAATATGATGGAAAAGAGACAAAAAACAATGCCAAAACACAGAATAGAATATAGGACACTATACACGGAAATAAGGAACAAATGCAAACAGGCTAAAGAGGAATGGCTCAACAAAACATGTCCAGAATGAGTATCACAGATAAAAAGATATATGCATAAAAAATAAGAGAACTAACACAACAAAAGACATGCTCATCAAGAGGATGCATAAAATCCAAGAATGGAATGTTGGTATTAGAGAAAGAAAAATACTTCAGAGATAGAATGAATATATTAGAGAACTCTTTCATGATAAAAGAGAATAACAAGCAATATACAGAAATATTGATGGACTGGAAATATTCAAATCTGAAATGGAATCTGCACTGGCCAAATTGAACAGAAACAAAATGGCAGGGCCAGACAGAGTTGTAATAGATATTATGTTAGCTTTAGATGATTTCAGTATAGACAAGATTACAGAAATAATACATGAAATCTACAACAGTGGTTATATACTGGAAGACTTAAGTAAATTTATTTTCATAGCACTAAGAAGCCAGGGGCAAACAATCAGCCTAATGAGCCATGTAACAAAACCTATCATCCAAATTCTGATGAATAGAGTGTGCAGCAGAATTAATGCAGAAGACAGACAAGAACAGTGCAGATTTGTCAAAGACACTGGAATAAGGAATGTGATATTTATGCTCAGAATGTTGTTACAAAGAGCAATATAAATGCAGAAGGATGTATACCTGTGTTTTATAGATTACACAAAGTTTGGCAAAGTATGCCACAAAGAACTGATCAGCAACCTTGACATATTTGGGGAGGATATTAGAATAATCCAGCACCCATACTGGGCATAAACCATCTGCATATCAATAGAAAATGAGTTCAGCTGATATTAAAAAATAGAAATGTGTGCAAGGCAAGGATGTGTCTTTTCATTGGACTTATTCAATTTATAGTATGAGGTGATTCTGAGAGAATTAGAAGTCCTACGTGGGTTCATTATTGACAGCTACAATCTTAACAACATGAGATATGCAGATGGCAACGTGTTGATAGCAGACATGGAAAAAAGGCTACAAAATCTCCTACAGAATACAAAATTAATTTTTTTTTTTTTTTTTTTTTTTTAAAATATAGCGTTCATAATTTTTTTTTTATTTTTAAAAATTAAAGTATTAGGAAATCAATTGACAAAATTGCCTGAAGATACCAAAAGGCTGAAACCAGGGTAGTGGAATCAGCTGATTTCCTAATTTTCTATACTATATATTTCATGAAATACATCTATTGGATGCTCTGGTACACATCATCAGTGATGTTTCTACCTGAGGTTCATTAGGGGTTTCGGGTCTTTCAAAATCATACCCACTCTCCACAGTGACCCAGCCGATACTGATCGGACATATATATATATATATATATATATGTGTGTGTGTGTGTATATATATATATATATATATATATATATATATATATATATATATATATATATATACTGCAGTAAATACAATATATTTTTAACTAGTCTAGAAGCCATCCTTTGGGTGGACTTTAGCCTTTTACTTTCAGCGTCCTATGTACATAATGTTATCAGAATTTAGAAATAATGAAATTATTTTATCTTTATTTGATACCTTAATTTGGTATAATCTTTCTTCATGTATGCAATTGATCTCTGTAGTTTATTTACATTTATTTTGTGCACAATTTTTAAAATCACCATTCTTTATGATCTCTTCACATGAAGTCACTCTTTTGACAAAACACTAAAAAAAAAAAAAAAAAAAAAAAAAATACATATACTGTACCCTGCTTAAATTTTAATTATGGTTTAATTAGATATCAATTCCAATTGCAGTGAAATGCAAAATTAAAGTTAAACCTTTAATAAAGAATTGTTTTTAAACCTTTCATTCTGTTCAATATTCAAATTTAAATTTAAATGAATTATTTCTTTAATTTTAATCACATGTAACTGCTGTCGTTACTGTTGTTACTTCAGGTTGTTTATGATTTGATGAGATCAAAAAACAGATGGACAGACACACCTTGCTTTATTCATGTAGAAAATGATGCTACTCAATATCAGAGACATAAGCAGTATAGGGTCAAATGTAGATGGACAGCTTTAAAATCACTTATAAAAACATTTAAAATTCTGTTTTAGCACATTTTTTGGTACAACTGAAAGTGAACATGTAATAAACATAAACATGAAAAACAAGGTTATTGATAGCTTACAAATATATATATATATATACACGCACACAAGGTGTAATGGGTAAATTGTCTAAATTACACAAAACTGAAAATAATGTTGACATTTCATTTTAACAGATATATTTACCAACATTACACAAAAATATCTTGAAATACTAAAAAAGGAAATTTATTCAAGAAAATTGCCATTGGCTTTAACGACACCCTTCAGACAAATTCACAATCTTCTGAAACTCTTCTGGACTGTCTCCTTGTTTAAGTTGGTGAATGCTGCCATAAACCTTGCCTCCAGTTCATCTTTGGTGTTACAAAGAGTTTTGTTGGTCTCTCACTCAACTGTACTCCACACATAATAACCAAGGGGGTTGCAGTCTGGGGAGTTAGGTGGCCAGGTGTAAGGGGTGATGGGGTTGCAGAAATTGTCTGACAGCCATGACTGAGTTCTGCTTGTGTGACATGGTGCAGAGTCCTGTGGCCAGATATAGGGTTTTTCAGCAATTATCCTCTTGATCCAGGGGAGTACTACCACCTTAAGGTACTTCATGTAAGCCTCTATATTGAGTTTGAGGCACTAACCAACAAATTTGGTAGTTCTTTTCTTATCCAAACAAAATCAGAGTAACTTTTCCAAGATGCTGTACTTTCTCATTAGACTCATTCAACTCTTTCTGAATCTTCTGCACTGTCCCCAGATTGACACCCAAACACTCAGAAATGTTCATATAGGAGCTTCCAGCATGAATGCCAAGCAGTACAGCGTGCCATATGCCAATTTCTAGTGGAGCGAATAACATCATGAGGCTCTTTTTCTAAAAGGTGGTGTCCAACTGACCTTGCTATACTGTGCAGTCAACAAAATCAAAAACAGACAACAGCCATGTGCAAAATTAAAAATATAAAATGTATGTGTAGTGACAACAATGTAAACAAAGCCAACCCAATGTAGTCTTAACAGATGAAACACGTCACAACTTTCAATGTGCCATACATTTTTTCTTTCAAAAGTTCTTATATATATATATATATATATATATATATATATATATATATATATATATATATAAAAAAAAGAAGAAAAATGAAATACTCACTACCAGGTGGGTGTATCCTTCTGACTCAGACATTTTATTATATATAAAAAAAAATATTGTGAAGAATGCTAAACTGAAGTTATCTTGATTAATAATATCAGTTTGACCCAGAAAAGAAATCTATCAGTTTATCAGGCATCATTTGACAATAACATCTGATCAAATCCTATTTGTGAATACTGTTGTTGTTCAGGAGACAATAATACCTGTCATGTGGTCTCTTTTCTTTATGGATAATAATTTAATTCCTTTTTCTTTTGTTTTTGAAATCATACTTATTATAAAACCCAGGTTGTGTGTGTGTGTTTGTTTATATATTGGATCGGATTTCCTACATTTTTCAACCGATTTCAACAAAACTTCACAGGACTACATAAAATTACCTTGCGGTGGTTCTGACATCGCCAAAAATTGGAAAAACACAATTGTTTTTGCACAGAATCAATTTGAAAGCACAATTAAGAGGCATCACTGTCATGAGAATGAAAGGGGGACAACCCATATCGAGTTATACTTATTATAAAACCCAGGTTGTTTGTTTGTGTGTGTGTGTGTGTGTGTGCGCGCGCGTTCGTTTATATATGGGATCGGATTTCCTACATTTTTCAACCGATTTCA